GGTAAGCATGGTGTTGGTGTTGTTGTTGCTGCTGGTGCCTTGAGCCGCTACGCTGGTCACGAGGCTGATATTGGAAGGCGCGACAGTCGCCGATGGCAGATGGGTGGATGCAGGCGCAACCGTAGTCGGAACAGAGTGGTTGGCGACGGCGCTGATTGCATACGGCGGAGTGCTATTGCCTGCCTGCTGCTGCTGCAACTGCGGCGGCTGCATAGACACTCGCGCGTCGTATGTTTGCTGCTGCTGCGGCCGTTGTTGTGGTGGTTGTTGTTGTTGTTGTTGTTGTTGTTGATGCTGTTGCCGCTGTTGCTGGTTTTGGGATTGGGCGAGATCCCACTGGTTCTGGTAGAGGTCAGGGGTACTAAAGGTGTCTGGAAAGGTCCACGAGTGATGGTTGGTGAAAAGGTGCTGTTCCTGGGCGATGGAGACGGGCGTCTCGTCGGCGGAGGTGAGGCCATCGTAGTAAACGCCGTCGCGGTCTCCGAGGCCCAAGAGAGCAGTGGGATCCTGCTGGGCTGTCATCTTGGAGGGTGGTTCGATGTTCAGATGCAGGAGTGGTTCGACATTGGCGTGATGCGGATGAGCGGCAGTCGGGCGGCTTCCGGCCGGGGATGTTTCGAACGGACCGAAGCCTCTTGAGGGTGACGGACGCTCCAGGCGTCGACACAGACAGCGATCGAGTCGACGGCGAGGTTGACGATGTGGTTTTGTGCAAGGAGCGACGGATGGTGCTGTGGTCGACAGAGAGGGCGACGGGTTTCAGCAGAGTGGGCGAGGCGAGGAGAAGAGGCAGAAGAGGCGGCGGAGGGCCACGGGTCGGTCGTGCGTGCGTGCGTGCTTGCGTGCATGCAGCAGAGCAGAGCACAGCAGAAGAGCACCACACAGGACGGGACGGGCAGGGAAACAAACCCCAGCCCAGGCCAGCCAAGGTGCCGTTACGTGCTTATGACGACAGCGCGAGAGGGAAGCACAGGAACTGCCTGCTTGAAAATGCAGCCACGGCAAAATCCGTGCGCGTTGATCTGGGGTCAAACGGCAGGAGCGGGGTGCAAGTGGCTGGACTCGGTGAGCACTCTCTACATTGTTTCTGCAATCCCCAAACACCACACTCATCAGACATGTCGGACCACCGGGGACACTATAAATAGACCTTTCTATTCAGCATTGTTCGCTACTTTCCTGTCACACACCTTGAGCACATTGTACTCAGTGCACATGGATCGGATGCCGTCAGAGATTCGTTGCATGGTCGCAGAGCTATTGCCCACAAGGGATCTGCGCACATTTCGCTTGACATGTGGGTTTCATGCTTATCATATTTTTTTTCATATACTAGCGCGCCAGTTCTGCATTCTTGGCACGCTGCGCTGTCTCAAGAGCTTCTTGAAGTTCCTCAACTCCAAACCGACATAATACACGCGGCGGCTCGCCATATATAATGGGAAATGGCCCTCGTACTCACGCGAAGAGTGGAATCGCAGCACGCTGATGCTTGGTGATTAATATATGCCCATGCGACGATTCGATGACGAAGATAGGGAAGAGGCCTATTGTCGTTATCGCATATTTCTTCGGGATACAGATCAGGAAGTTGACATCCAGATCGCCCGTGAGGTGTCGAAGCGCTTTGTTGTTCAGCTAATAACGGATGGAACTTTCACAAGAACTTCCCTTCTCTAGTGAGTCTTAATCTTAGTATATCCCCAAGGTCATTACCGATACCATACGGGCAAGATGTTATGCTTCTTAATCTGAAACCCCTTCGATTCCGTGGAGTACATGTTTCTAAAGCTTATCTTATCGGAATAGCGTAATCGCATTCCACTCTACGGTCTCTACATTTGAGTGTGACTATTATCCTCGGGGGTCAGTGGAGCTCGTGCCTGGCTGTCATCGAAAGCTCGACTGACATTTCAGTCCACATGGGAGACGTAGAACCAGCCTGATCAAGTAGTGGGAGGAACAAGAGAGTTCATGCTTTAAGGGTTTTCGTTTCTGGTTGTTTTTTTTGGTATGAAAGAGTCATGTGAAATGGTTCTTTCCTAATCCAGAAGCAACTTACTAGCCCTCTCCATGATGTAGTCCTGGATGATCTGGCTCTCGCAAGTGCCATGTCGCAGGATCTCCGTCTTGAGGGCGAGGATCTCATCGCATAAATACTTGACGTGGGCCTTTAAGGCACTGTTCTTCTCGGAGAGCCATTGCTCTGTCTTCACGAGCTCTGTAATTTCACATTTCGTCTTGTCGCGATACTTTGTCGCAGCCATTCGGTTCTTCTCGCGTGTCGTCTTCTTCTTCTTCTTGCTGCTCGGAAGAGCCGTCGTGTCCGACGGCGTAGACTGTGACGCGAAACTTGCCGTTGCATCTGGCGACCCTGTGCTGTGCACGTGTATCTCGCTATCCCTGCGTTTCGTGCCGTCGAGCTGCGGTATCTCCGAGCTGTGTTGCTGCTGAAGGTGGTGGTGGCTATGGCGCCTAAGTGCTGACGTCGAAGGCTCCGGCATAATTTCCCCAGGGCTAGTGTGTATCGACGCGCTAGCAGAATGGCTGGCTACGGACATTAGCCACGAGTGTATGCCCGACGCGACGTCGTCAAGAGCCGTGTTCGAAATTTGTGAGGGGATGATGGTGCCGAAGGGGGTTGCGTCGTGTGGCTGCAAGGGCATATTGTACATCTCGGGACCAAGGTCCATGGTGGAGCCGCCGTCTGTAGCAGATAGAGAGGCGTCCATATGAGTGGAGTTGCCATCCAGGACCATCCAGGACATGTCGCCAGACTTGAGGCCAAAGGTACCCCCGGGCCAGTCATGTACTGTATGCGTGGAATGTTGGTGTTGCGTGTGGTCTGTGAAGGCAGCAGCCATGGTGGCAGTTATGTGTGGTCGCCTGAGTCTTGCTAGCTTGTGCGAGAAATTTGTACTACCTCTGTCGTCCTTGATCGTTGTTCTTCTTGTTGTGGCCGCGGAAGAAATGGGGGTCGAGGTGAGATGATAAGGTACGGCTTGTGAGTGCGTGGGTCTTTCTGGATCGCTCCCCAGAAGTGGCGCCGGCTCCCTGTTGTAGCAACGAACGCGCCGCTCGACAGCAACGCCGGCCATTACCTGCTTATGACGACAACGCGAGTGGGGGCAGCACAGGAGCTGTCTGCCTGAGGATGCAGGCACGGCAAGTTCCGTGCGCGTCGGCCTGGGTCAAACGGCAGGTGCAAGTGGCTGGACTTGGTGAGATCCAGCTACGGCGGGCCCGCTCAGCTCTCAGCCTTTCAACTATGGCCCAGGAAATCGCGAAAAGCGGGTTTCTGGGGATGATCCAAAATTCGCCGCTCGCGAAGCCGCGGGGAATGCGCTAATGGTGGGCACTTGGGGACGGCTGTAAGAATCAGATGTTGAAATGCCATGCCTTGTGGCAAGCGAATGTGGGATCGAGATCTCAGGGATGACTGGCCCCGGCCTCGAGCCCACACAACCACTCCGGGCGCCAGCCGGGGTGGCCTCTCCGGAGCGCCGCAGCAAATTAAGGCGCCGCCAAACCGGCCACCGGGGGCCTGATTGATGGGGCCGGCCTGCTTTCGGAGGCAGACAATCAATTCTTTTGAACCGGGGTGTGCTGCCAGTTGTCTGCTCGTCATGGCGAAGGGGTTGGTCGGTCTCGGGGTGGATTGGTTGGTGCCCAGCGAGCCAGCCTGTTCCCAGTCTAGTGGTGAGAGGTTGACGTCAGACGAGCAGGTGAGGCAGGCGGGCTCGCAACGGCGGGGCGGGGCAACTGCCGTGCTCATGCGCGGGTGCACTTGGCTTGGTTTCATTCCAAGCTTGTCCCTCAGGACGCTGTCTGCTGACTGCCACAGCCGTCTGCCCCAGATGGCCGGTCCGTCCCTCGCCCACGTACTATTATTGACGTGCCCGCCCCCCTCCCGCCCTCTGGCCCTGTCCCTCGGGGTCCTGCTGACATCTCGCTATATCATCAGCGCAGCTTTCCCCAGTTCATCTCGATCGCTACAACCACACTGATCGCGGCACGCAAGCAAACTTACTGTCCACGAACACTGCTTGTCATCAGATGACAAGACTACCTCGACAACTACGGCATCAGCGCCACCAGCCATGTTGGCTTACGACTACGAGGCCCCTCAGCGGCGATCCTACCGTGAGGAGGCACGCCTGCGCCCGGATCCCCGCTATGAGCCACAAGATGCCTACTATCGCCAGAAACCCTCCTCCCGACACGAGCTTGTGCCTCGCCCCCGTGAAGATAGCGACACCTCAGTCGAGGAGATCCGTCGCGACTTTCCGCCACCGGGCTACCGCGACATCCGCTGGGCTCGCTCAGCAGAGCCTGGCTACGACGACTACTACGCACCTGGGCGCGATTTGCGCACCCGTCAGAAGCCAGGCAGCGTCTACTACGAAGAGGAAGTGCGCACTCGCAAGCGCGTCCTGACCAAGCAGCAGAAGATGCTGGCTGCTGTGGTTGGAGGTGTCATTGCCGCCGGTGCTAGGAGGCATGGGATCGCAAGGAGGCCAAAGACGAAGGCTCAGGCAGGATCGAGCGCAACCCGCTCGCCTCGGCTGCTCTTGCGGCGGGAGGTGCCTTTGCTGGCTACTCCGGCGCCGAGTACTACAACAAACACAACGACAAGGAGGACAAGAAGTCCACCTATATTGTGCACAAGGGCCGCGATGGCCGTGTTTCCGAGTATTACTCTGACGACGACGAGGACCCCAGAGGCCGCAAGGGCAACAAGTCCTTCCTGGAGAATGCTCTCTCTGCTGCCGGACTTGGAGGCGCCATCAAAGCCCTGACGGGCGGAGGTTCTGATCACCGACGTTCTGAAGGGAGAAGCCGCCGCGGAAGTGTCGAGTCGAGGAGCTCTCGTCGATCTCGCTCTGAAGACACTCCCGCCAATCGAATGCAGAAAGCTGCCAAAGCCTCCTTGGTGGCTGGCGCTGCCGAGGCTTTCCGCGTCTCCAAGAAACCTGGCGGTTGGAAGGGCGAAAAGATGAAGCGCGACCTACATCAATGGATATCGGGACGAGTACTCGGCAATCTTCTGGCTCAATATCAAGGACGAAGCGTCCATTCAGCAGAGCTTCACTAGGATCGCGACGCAGATCCTCGAACATAATCCCGATGCCGGCAGCATGAAGGGATTGAACTTACAGCAAGATCATACCAAGATTGTCCAGGCCGTGAAGGCGTGGCTCAGCTTGCCAGGTAACACCAGATGGCTCATTGTGTACGATAACTACGATAATCCTAAGCTTCCCGGGCGGAGAACCGATGCAGCGGTTGACATACACCAATTTCTTCCGATGGCACATCAGGGCTCGGTAGTAATCACAACACGGCTATCGCAAATCGACATGGGACATCACATTCGACTTGAGAAACTCAAATCGGAACACGAGAGTCTGCAAATATTGACAAAGGCATCTGGCCGGAATGGCTTACAAGATGGTAAGAATCTCGAGGCAATTCATTTCCGACCACTAATGGTGTTTTAGATGGCGATGCAAAAGACCTTGTACGAGAATTGGACGGCCTTCCCCTTGCTCTAGCTACGGCTGGAGCATATCTGAAACGCGTCCCGATCAGCATACGCAAGTACCTTCGCTACTACCAGGAATCTTGGGCCAGAATCACCGGCAATCTGCATCTCGGATCCTATGCAGATCGTACATTGAGTTCAACATGGCAGCTGTCGTATGACCATGTTCAGGCACAGAACCCACTTGCGGCTAATCTACTTCGGTGGTGGGCCTACTTCAATAATGAAGACATATGGTATGATCTTGTCCAGGCGAGAAGCCGAATCGGCCCGGGGTGGATGGAGGAGCTTTCAGAAGAGCTCAACTTCAACGATGCAATGGGCGTACTCCATGACTACGGCCTAGTGGAACCTACAACCACGTTCCAGGAGCCACAAGGGTACAGCATACACAGTTGTCTACATTCCTGGGCTATTCATATATTGAATGAGGAGTGGGACAGCTGCTTGAACAAGCTTGCAGTGGAAAGTGTGGCATCACAGGTTCCTTCACGAGAGGAAGCCGAGTATTGGCTTCTTCAGAAGAGACTAATATCACATGCGATCCGGTCTTGTTCAACAGTACAAGAGAGCAATTGTCCTACAGATCGGGCTTTTCATTCTCTAGGTAGTCTTTACGCTGACCAGGGGAAGCTGGGCGAGGCCGAGAAGATGTACTTGCGGGCGCTCGATGGGTACGAGAAGGCGCTCGGGCCGGGTCACACATCAACACTTCGCACAGTCAACAACCTTGGCAACCTTTACAAAGATCAGGGGAAGCTGGACGAGGCCGAGAACATGTACGCTCTGCGAATATAATAGAGCTCAGGGACTTGATCAAGCCAGCACGTACCGGCCATCGATCAACACCCTTACGAACCTAGGATCTCTGCGCTTGGAACAGGGCCGTTTCAGCCAAGCGAGACAATATTGTCAACGTGCTTACGGTGGCCTTGATTAGCTTCTCGGGCCATCGCATCCGGTTGTCGACTCAGCGCGACACAGTCTCAAGCATACACATCGCGCGCTTGAAGCTGGGACGTCTTCGAGCGATGACCAACGTTTGGTAGATCCAACAGAACCGGGGGTGTCGAAGACGAGGCGACGTGATATTTTGAGCGGATTGTAGGTCTCATGTAGGGAACATAAGTCAGCAGTATGTCAATCTAATGTTTAGCACATTTCTTCATTATTTCAGTTTAATGTTATGAAAGAAACCCGTTGATGGAATCGCTGCTGCCTTGTCGGCTAAAGAGCCTTTCGTGGCCGATGATGTATGCACGCAGGTCCATAGTGCGTCATAATTTGGTGCTCGAGCGGGGCTACTTCATTGCAGAGGAGCTGGTAAAGTCTACTGGAACATCAGGCTCCAAGCCATCAATTCGTCTGCTCTGGACCCCGAACAGAGTGTGGCTTTCTGTGAAGCCACGTCATCGCCACAAAAGACGGCCGGTCGACATCAAGATTGATATGGCTATAGGTTCTTGGGAGAATGCAGAAGCTCGCTGTGCAAGCAATGGCTTTCAACTTCGGCCGATCGACGGTAAAGAATAAGTGTAGAAATGTTTGGTTGGAAGACCCCTTATTTGTTGCAGCATGGTGTGTTTTTCTCATAATGTGATGCCTTCATCTATGCAATAAGCGAGGAGTCTTGATCAAGCCTTTGACGACTATGGAGCATAAAATGGCTCCCTACCCCACCTTTCTGCAGGGTATCCACTTCTTCACTGATTAATGTGGCGTGCCAAGACCAGACGGCCTGTGCGCAGAACTGTTTGTGCATGACCTACACGGACACCGATTTCGAATCTGACTGTATCGGCAGCCATCCCATTTTATCATAACTCACAACGTTTCGCAAGCGGTGGTGTGGTGGAAAACGCCATTTCACGGAACGACGGCTCGGAGCAATAGGCAACAGTCCCTCGCCTGGGCAAGTTTCATTCGAGAAGCTTGCTAGGGACGCTACCGAGACATCACACTAGCCCCCACTCCATCACCAGTATGGGTGTCTACTACGGCGCGCGGGCTTTGCGAGAATCGTGACGTTTAGAGGAGATTATTTGGCACCTTGATGGAATTAGACTGAGCTGCAGATCTCGACAGCGCCATGCCGCCCGGCCGGCCTTCGAAAAGGACTGGCGAGTCAGCAGACGGCAACTCATCGGACGAACACAGCATCAAAGTCAAGTCGCAGCGGACACAACGGGGATCGACGCAGAGCGACTTCTCAAGCGTGGTCAAGAGCAAGCTTCAGTCGTACACGCGTACAGGTCAAGCATGCGATCGTTGCAAGGTGAGCAAAATCGAAATACGCTCTTTAATCATCGTACCAGCACGCCGGTCGGTTCACTTCGATTTTCGGAGCGGCCTTGCCTGTTGGAGTAGTATGACGAATCTGGCCACGCACGGCTGAATCTTGCACTGGGTCTTGGCGCTGTCAACCCTCAGATCGTGTTTTTGATCGAAGATGACATGGCTCAACCCTCCCAGTCGCGCTGCAGCACAAGTCCCGGCTTAGAAACCACGACTCTCGACGTTCCAAAGAGCAATCTAACATGGCAAAACTTGATCAGGTCCGCAAAATACGTTGCGATGCGTTTCCCGAAGGGTGTTCGCATTGCATTAGTCAGAACTTGGAATGCTATGTCACGGATCGCGTCACCGGTCGCACGGAGCGCCGTGGCTACACACAGGAGCTTGAGAGAGAGAAGGCAGCCATGTTGGCACAGATCCGGACGCTCGAAAAGAGGCTCGAAGCGAACGGAATACATGCGGCGCGGTTTCAGTGGCCTCAGTCCTTGGATTCTCCGGGGCGCTCGTCATCGCGCTCACAACTCGATATAAGCCACCAGGACGTTTCTCAACAGACTTCACACCTGACAACACCTATGGGTCCTCCTTGTCCCTTTACCAACAGTGAGAGCACTTCTTTGAGTGTTTCTCAAGACGCCAATCCAAATCGACCACAGCTTGTTGCCTTCAAAAGTTTGACGCTATCCATTCTTGGAAACGACATCGATCTCGGCGCGTTCGGAGAGACTGATCTCCCAGATCCCTCGCTCCGCGTTCCCGATGTACCCCTACACTATTCACCAAGCGAGAAGATGATTTTGCATATGATGCTCAACCTACAGCGTCCCACAAATGTCGAGCTTCCACCATGGAGTGAGGCACTCCGGTATGCGGAATGGTGGTTCGCAAATATCTATCCGTTCCTGCCGATTCTGCACCGGCCAACCTTTTTGTCGAATCTCAAACTGCTTTACGAAGACCCTGTATCGCCTTCATTAGCGCCCGCGGACATTGTTGGCATCCATGTGGTGTTCGCGACGACATTGCGTCAAATCAGCTTTACCTCGCTCGATCACTCGAAGCGACCGCATCTAGCCGCATGGTCTGAGAAGCACTACCACTATGCTCTTGGGAGATTTTCAGAGGTTGTCGTGTCGCGGAATCTCCAGGATGTCCGAGCAATCGCACTCATTCTTTTCCACGCGACGAGATTCTCCAAGCCTAGGGTCAGTGCCTATGTCGCAAATCAGGCCCTATCCCTTGCAATGGAACTGGGTTTGAATCGAGCACGCCCCTCGCACGTCCGCACAGGCAGGCTGGAAGAAGAGATGCGCAAGAGATTATGGTGGGCAATCTTGTGGCTGACAATCACGATCCATGGTCGCACGGGACGGCCGATGCCGATAGGCCTACATGATATGGACATCGATTACCCGGACGCATTATCCGACGAAGCTCTCGAAGAGCAGAGCGGCAACACTATCGGAGTTCCGGCCTGCCCTTTCCTCGTTGGTCTTTGGATTATGAAAGCCACGAGGATGTATCTGCATATGTACTCAAGCATATACAGCATTCGATCCAAATCATCCGCATATCTCATCTCGCTACAGGCACTGGAACAACAGCTCAAGAACTGGCAGGATAGTCTCCCTGATAGTCTTCAGCTTACCGAGGCTGATCTCGCAGACGCTGCAGTCAGCGACTTCCACGCACTCTATATCCACTACACCAGCCTAAATCTTCAGCTGTACTTGCGCCATCCCATGGCGCTGCCGTCCGAAGATCCCGCGCTCCTAGACAGCACTCTACAAGCCAACGAAGAGAACTCGAAACGCCTGCTCAGGTGTCTCCTGGCCCTGCACAAAATTGGATGGCTTGAAGCCACATGGCTTGCGTTGGGGACGTATACAAGTGGTGCCTTTCTGCATCTGACGTCCTATTGGCATAGAAGGAATATTCTGAACGAGCATGATATGCTTGACCTGCGGCGAGACATGATGTCCTGGTTCATGATTATCAATGAGACCAGCCAACTTCTTGGTGAGGAATAGCATGACGCAACAAGGTTGTCAATATTTGAGACTGACAATTGTACCCGTACTTGCAGACAATGGACAGAGACTATCTGCTGCGATCAACGACATAATCCAACGCGTGCTAACGTGGATCGAACATGATTATCACCGGCTGGCAAACGATGCCCGGTCCTTACACACACCACGCGATATGGCCGCCAAGCGCACAGCTCAAGAATCAGGGCAGATACCACATATGTCCTCGATGGTACCCAATCAGCGCCTGGCAGATTCTTCGAGCAGGGGCAATGTGTCATATGATTTGCCCTCGAGGACTGGCTTCTATCCAGATCCTTCTGTATCCGACCCCGGGGTGTACAGCCAGTCCACGGGCTATCCAGGCACACAACTTCAACCTCCGAATCCCGGGGCGCCCTATAATCCTGGTCACCCATTCACTTACGAAGGACAGATTAGAATGGAACCACCACATGGCCACGAGCACAGCTCAGGGCCGACTCCACGGACCGGCGCCTCAATGGACCCTTATGCGCCGGGCGGGGCACCACCAATGCCACAAACCTCGCAGCCCATGATGTGGCGCCCACCAATATCGACAACCAATACGCACGATATCGAGGCAGGCATGGCGAACCCGAGCGGAAGCGGGCCTCATGCAGGCGCAACATGGAGCGACTGGAACACGCCCATCCCTGGCAGCCAAGAGCACCGTTATGGGTCGCATTCTCTCGTGGGGATGGGTCCGGGCCCGCGACAAGAGACGCGCCCGGACAGTGGCATGCCGGTAGGACCTGAGAGGGAGATGAACATGGGTCCTGGCGTGCCTGTTACCGGAAACGATATGCCTTGGCCCGGATTGATGTACCCAGCAAGCTCGGAGCGGCAGCAGAGGCCGCAATGACATGATGAAGGAGCCATAGCAGAAGCCAATAATGATGAACCCTATTGCCGTTGACTATCCTTTTTGAGCCCATAAGGCTCCGATATTAAGGCTTTCCCGCCATCTTGGTGCTGATCGAGGTGCTTAGAGAATGCCTGTTCAAGCTGAAGTGACGAGTAACGGTGACGATCACAAGTATGGAAGTGCTATGCTTTTGCGCAACAATCAAAGTATCCTCGAGCACTAGCCAGCTCCCTGAGTCAGCGTTACAACACCCACAGCGCGCGAAGCGCCACAGCGGTACCCTACTGGTAATTTTGGCAAGCAGCAGCTGAAGTGTGGCCAGTCATCATTAATTCTCCTCTCGCCAGCCACAGCGCTAGATAGCATTCCTCCTTCACCTCCCAACCTTCGCCCCTCGTTCTGCCAAAAAACCATGGCGTCTCTCCAAGAAACCCTGGCGCCCCGCGGCGTCCGACTGAAGAAAGTCTACGAGCCCAATGGGAAAACAGACATTGACATCATCGCCATTCACGGCCTGGACACAACCTCGGCAGAGACATGGGTGTGGAAACCCCGTGACAACTCATCACACGTCAACTGGCTTTCGGATAAGAAGATGCTCCCAAGCCGCGTCGGCAACGCATCCATCTGGACCTGCGATTGGCAAGCTGATCTGATTCTGCCTGCTGGGCAGGAGCCGAAGACAGCCGAAGAACTCGCCCGCGATGTCCTCGCTTGCCTGGAGGCCCATGTACGGGAACAGAGCTACCGCCCGATCCTGTTCATTGCATCATGTTTCGGAGGTGTGCTACTGATGAAGGCCATGGTCTTGGCACATTCTGATATGGGCTCCGAGTCCCCCCTCATGAGGGCGGATCCCCGCGTTGTTTTCCTGGCGACCCCGTTTCGAGGCACGGCGTTCGAGAAAGTGGCGAGCTGGGCCCAGCCTCTTATGGGCTTGAAACTATTGTTTTCCAACAGAGCCATCACTCCGGTCCTCGAACTTCTGAAACAGCCCCCGTCCGAAGGCGGAATACCCATATCTGCCTTCAGCGGAATTTATCGCAATAATCCGAAACACATTGGCACCTTCTATGAGAAGGGCAACACCAACCTCTTCAGACACGTCGGCTTATCCCCTGAATTCCTCAATACCGAGCCAGTCAGTCGCGGGGACCCTATTGAGTGGTAAGATAGATGCTAATCGCTACGTAGTTGGTCACTGAGAGCTCTGGCCGTCTCGATATCGTCAAAGATGCGCAAGGCTTAGAGAGACCTCATATTCTCATGAACAAGTTCTCGGGTCCAGATGACGGGGGCTACGTCTTTGTCCGTCAGAAGATCGAGGAGCTCCTTGAAGGCATCCGCCTCTCATCATCGTCTGACCTGCGAGAGGCAGATGAAATTGTTAGAAAACTGTACCAAGACGGCCGGCTTCGGGTCCGGCGGCTCTCAGGGAAGTCGCTGCCAGTGGAACAATGCTACATCAACTTGGCTATCGTCAAGCGCGCCGCCGAGAATCGGGGTGACGAGACAGACACGACAGGGGCGACTCATCACCCGTCAAGCCCAGAACAGCAGAGAGCTGACGAGCTTGAGAGTGTTGGGGTTCATCTGCGAGACATCTTCAACGACCGCAAAAACCGGAAAGGGGAAGTCTCTCGACCGCGCAGAATATCTGTTCAGGGCCTGCCCGGCGCAGGGAAGACAACTCTTTGCAAAAAGGCAGTGCACGAGTTTGTCGAGAACGGAGCTTGGAAATTCCTGTTCGACCGCCTTCTGTGGATTCCTCTGCGCAATTTAAAGGACCGAGAGGATCGCTACGATCTCACGAAGTTGTTTCACGACGAGTTTTTCTCCCAAAACAATCGGAAAGACAAACTGGTCTCAGCCATGTGGAGAGCGTCCGAACAATGTGAAGGGAGCCGGACGCTGTTCGTCCTGGATGGTTTGGACGAGATCTGGCATGGATTGACCGCCGACAAAGTCAGATTCTCTTTCGTTAGGCATCTTCTAGACATGCCCAATGTCATTGTCATGTCTCGGCCATCCGTCTCGCTGCCCGACTCCCTCAAACCCTTCGACATGAAACTAGAAATACTCGGCTTTGACTCTCAAGACGTGGCGACCTACATCCAGGCCATGGAACCGGGAAATGCACCAAAGATCCAGGATTTCCTTAGTGATCATTCGCTCAGTCAGGCCCTCATACGGACTCCAATTCATTTGGACGCTCTTTGCTTCGCAATGCAAGATGGGCGTGACTACAAGCCCGAAACAACCACAGGCCTTTACACCGCGCTTGAAGATGGCCTATCGGAGAGGAGCGCCGAGACAAACAAGACAAATCTAGTCCAGAGACTTGCCTTTGCTGGACTTGTCAAGAACAAGCAGGTCTTCACCACCGACTTCGTGAAAGAGGCACTCGCAGGCTGTGGCTATGGTCTGCAGGAGCGTTTCGACTTGCTATCGAGGTCACCATTCCTGAAAGCGCTGGACACATCTGACGTGGAATATGACAAGAGCTCTTTGGAGTTCTTGCACCTGAACGTCCAAGACTATTTCGCAGCACGTTACGTGGTAGATCTGTTGTTGGAAGGACAGCCCTTCGCTTGCCCACAGACGTCCAGCAACAGGACAGAACCGCTTACTGCGAGGGAATTCTTCCAGAGACACAAGTACTCTACTCGCTATGACATGGCTTGGCGCTTTGTTGCTGGGCTGCTGAGCTCTAAGGGGAAAGCAGTACAATTCTTCGACGAGATCGATAAGGAACCACTAGACCTACTCGGTCCAGCACATCAGCGACTCGCCATGCGTTGCCTCTGCGAGTTGCCGCAGTCCGATGAGGCGGATTTGATCAAGCTTCGACGCCAAGTAGAATCCCGTCTGTCGGAGTGGTTTACTTTCCAGCAGGCATACATACCCACCCTTGGGTCGGACCAAGAATTTCCCATCCAGATTCTCATCAACATCTTGAACCGAGAAGTTGGCGGCATCAAATCAAAGGGTCGCTCCAGGGCCCCGCAATCAATAAGTCGATGGGTTTTTGGAGAGCAATCAAATCATGCATCCGCAAATACTAGAACAAGAACTTTGGAGGCTTTGCAAACCCAACCAAGCCTGCCCAAAGCGGCCATCGATGCCATCATCAGGTGCCTCGGCGACGAAGCTTGGGACGTCAGATGGGCCGCGGCGATAGCCCTGAAGGGCCAGACCGGCCTCAAGGAGGCGGCCATCGATGCCATCATCAGGTACCTCGGCGACAAAGATTCGGGCGTCAGACGGGCCGCGGCGATAGCCCTGCAGGGCCAGCCATGTATCAGCCTACCAGCAGCCACGGCCATTTGCAGAACCCTCTGCAAAAATAGGCAACAGGATTACAACACTATCGTCATGATGATACTTTGCCATGAAACCATCCACCGCACCTTCTTATCTTCTGGCACAATCACCTATGCCTTTAATGCATTGTTTACCGCATCCTGTCACCGGAATTTATCCTGGCATATGCAGGGCCAAAGATCCACGATAGAAACTGAAGACCGAGTGCACGTCGTTGATTTTGAGGAGTTATCCAAACTCTGGACGAAAATCCAACGCAAGCGACAGAAATCAGGCATTCCTAGGATAATTTAGTGGTACGTGCTATCATCCAGGCTCTACTTTTTGTTGGTTGGCTCGCTCAGCTCGCCTCCTACATGGAGGTGAAATGCGGACGTTCGCCCCGGCTGGGGCCTCCGAGCCTTTCGTCACCGCCACCGGTTAAGCACGATGTCGTCTCGCAGCCTGACCGACAGCCTGGGCATTTCCAACTGCGTTCCCCCGTCCCAGCACAAAATGGCGCCGAACCCATGTCCAGCCGCAGACGTCTCTCCGACAACATGGTACCTGTAATGCTCATCTCCCGCAATGGGATCTGGATGGCTGCAGAAAATCAAGTCCAAACTGGCCACAAACGACTGACATCTCTCGTCACACCCCTCCATTGGAAACCCTCTGCAGGCAGCCGTCGCTCCCAAAACTCCCGCGGCAAGCCTTCAAGGGCGGTTTTGGAACCAGGCATACGACCGATTAACCATGGACGAGCCCTCCATCGTGCAAGCATACGAGAGGTTCCCATGGATCAAACTCAAGAAGGACCGCAGAGACGGTCACACCGGAGCACCTCTAGAACGGAGACCTCGTTGATGTCTCCAGCGGAAGTATCTTTATGGACTGGAGGCTGAGTCTCCAGCGCAGCATGCCGCAGGCGGTACTAGCAATTCCAGAAGCTGCAGACGCTGGTGGTGGGTTGCATCATTTCGATTGTTCGGGACATCTCCAATTCTTGTAGCAGGCAGCGGCAGGAGCGCAGCAGTTGGGTTAGTTTATGTATGTGTTCTCAATCCCCATTATATTCTTCATGGCGCGGCGCAATAGAGGTGTGGGAAGACACACTGATAAAATAGGTCTTCGGCGTAGGGAGGGCCCATTTCTTGGAGCGTTCTAGCGGTTTCTAGCTCTGACGATGACGAGTCGCAGGTCTCTGGACGGACGGCCAGGGTAAGGTGGCAGGAAACAATGACGTTGTTGTTCTTCTTCGTGGAGACTCAGCCGGCCAACTATGCATGCCTCATAGATAACAGGGCACCTGTCAATCTAGAGACACAACGGAGATATCAAGAACTATCGTAGATTGAATTGAAATGCCTGCTCGACTGTAATACAAGAGAAGAGGTTCTGGTCCTCTGTATATAGGTGCCGTCTTTGATACAGTTGACTTGGGTGGAATGGCTCGGCCGAGCTCGTCCGACTTACTCGAACTCATCCGCACTCATCCAGCTGATTAGAGCATCTGTTAAGATAGAGTTCCAGAGCTTGACAGCACCACAGCGGCAGAGTTAGGTACTGGGCCAGGCTCGGCTCGATGAAAGGTGGGTACTTGAGAGAGTACCTCCGTGGGAAAGGCAGGATATCGGAACAAAGTAGGAGACAAGGCATGAGCGCTTGCGAGGCTGCGATGGCTTCGATTATAGGTAACGGAGCAGGGAGGTCGGATGTGCGAAGAACGGAAGGGGTAGTGACTTCCCGTCGCGAAAGGTTCAATTCTATGTTCCAATTGAGTATAAAGACGATCAGATATCTAATCATAGTACTGCGGGACTGTTGCAACTGCTGGGACATACGACCGGGCGAGCCGGGAAGGTGGTGTTAAGTGAGGCGAGCATCTTGGAGTGAAGAGTGACTTCCTGGGAAGTCACCCGACTCTTGGCGTCGTTCTGACAAGCTTGCCGCGCAGCCTGCCAAGGCCAATCAGATCAGCTACCCCTGGGTCTTGATGATCTGCATTCTCTTCCGCTGGTAGCGTCTCGTAGCGACCCAGTTATCGACGAACATATAGAAGAATACAACCAAGATGAGGCCTGCGGCGACGAGAGGCCCCAGGATGGAGAAGACTGTGAAGCCGTACGAGGCCGACTGGAAAGCCTCGTTGTTCTGGAGCTCCGTCGCCAGGCCGACCTGCATCACCGTCAGGACGATGGCGATGTAGACGGTCGAGCTGGCCAGCCAGGCAAAGTTGTCGCCAAAGAAGGAGCCGTACTGGGTCCAGCGAGACATGTAGCGGCGAAGCGGGGTCTTCCAGAGGAAGTATATTTTGTTGAGCCGGCTGAGGCGGAGCTCTCCGTAGTGGAAACGCGGATCGATCGAGGAATAGATGTGCTGCGTTCCCAGCACTTCCTTGACGACCGTCCTCCACGACTGCCACTGCACCTCTTGGGGCAGGAGGTGGTTCTCCTTGGCGATATGGAAGTCGCTCTCGTGGGCTATGAGGCCCGCGTACGAGAAGAGCAAGCCGAGGGCTCGCTCCCGACGACCCCCACAGGCACACCGTTGCTCGCCTGCGATGCGGCTGGGCGGCTGTGGGCAACGCAGGTGTTCCTCCCAGAAGCGCGGCTCGAGGAGGAAGCGCGGCAGCGGCTTGAAAAACATGCGGCCAGTCCCCCACACCAAGTGCTGGTCCAGCCTCTCGGTGATCAGGATCTCGCGGTTGAGGAGGCGCTGTTGGTGGAGCGGGCGCGGCGGCATGGGCCGTCCGGCGATCCACAACCAGTCGTGGACATCGGCAAGTCGCCGCAGATCGAGCTCCGCGTCGACGCAGGCGACCACGGGGGAATGGGCAGGGGTCGTCAGGTCGTCCGCCGGGGTCCGGCTCGAAGCGGGCAGCAGGTCTACGAGACTGGTCTCGACGCGCCCCGCCGCGACCTTCCCCGCCGCAGTGTCGTGCTCCAAGGCTCGGTGGGTGAAGGGGGCCGACTGTTAGAGGCTGGTCAGCAACCACGGGTCTCTGGACGGAAGCGAAAAGGTGGCCCACTTGGCTTGTTTGTACTGCGATCGTTGACGGAGACGTTTGATAATCGTGTTGCTCGATGGCAGGTCGGAGGCACGACTGCGAGTGAGAATCATATGTGCATCTTCAGGCCAGCCATCGGGGACGGGCGGCTGACTTCTGATGTACTGGGCGTACACGTGCTCTTTTTGGATCCTGCAGGCCAACAGGAATCAATCACCACGGCGTTGCTCCTCGTGTCGCCAACTGCGGCCCAAACAATACGATGACTGGGCACTAAGGAGCGCTATGTGGGACTGGCAGCCTGCTTGGTATTGAAGGTTCGCACCAGGGAACTCACGTTGAGACGCCCTCCTCTTTGTCTAACCGCATCGCAGCCTGCCCGCCACCATAGCACGCTCTTGGGCACCGCCATGCAACCAAGACGCAGTCTCAGGCGCTGGCGGTGTTCAGAAGACTGGAAAAACTCGTCCCACCAGATCTCCGCCACGACTGTTCTGTAGCAATAGCAAGGTCATGTAGTGGCAAAGGGAACTTGGCGAGCGTGGCGCATTAAATGTTCGGATGGTTCCACACTCGGCCGACGTGAGAGCCAACTACCTGTCTGTTTCACTGTGAAAATCGTGCCTAGAACATTGAGCGCAATTGAGATGGAGTTGGGTCACCATAGCAACCTTATTCGTCCCTCGAAGCATCGCCTCCCGATTCCGCTTTGCGGATACCTTGCAGCGTGGAGAAAGTAATGTCCCGACGTCACCACAACCCAGGATCGTGCTTCCGGCCATCCGCGGAGGTCCCCCCTCGAGGATGTTCAGCCCCCAGAAAAATTTGATACATGCAAAATTTCTCGTACTCAGTGATCTGCAAGGTTTCGGGGCTTCCATGATCTGCAAAGTTTCGGGGTTCCGTGATCTGCAAAGTTCCGGGTAGCTCCCGCCGTCTGATCCCAATACCTTGAAAGCTGCTACAGGCTCTACAATGTTGGGAAAGAGCCGTAAATGCTTGAGATGACTGAGTTCGTATGTGGCTGACTGCACTCCTTTCCAAGAAACCATTAACTCTCCGATACCCCTCATTTGTTGTTATCGTGACGGTCTCATTTAGCAGCAGCTGATGGATTCGATGGCACAGATCACGAAAATTAGAAGCAGGTGGTAGGCTTATGCCAGGCATTCAATATGAGTTTCCCCGCTTCCCCACCAATCTGCAATAACTTTATCTCAACGTCCCTCCGACGAAAAGGTGGCCAGGGGACGAGTGCACAGCTGCCGATGGGGAACCCGACGACCAACTCTTCTCTTGTCAACAGCCCTACAGGCAATTAGATCAGCCTGGCGTTGCCGGAACCGCCGGCAAGTCTTTGGTTGTAACCCGCCGCCTCGCTTCCGCGACCTGAGAGCCTCTCTTTTCCACTGTCAAGCCCCGCCATCGGCCTGGCATTCCAGATGGCCTGGGTGTCCACGATGCACTTGGCCATCTTGGCTGTGGTGCTGGCCTCCGTCATGCTGTCTCCCGTCGTTTTAAGGCTCTTTCGTCGTAATAGAGAGAGCCGTCCCGACGGACTCCAGGTCGTCTCTGACCCCAAGGCTGCCAAATTCGAGTAAGACACGCTCCCGGCTTGTCATCCAACGTCCCGCTAAGGTTGCCAGAATCGTCGCAGTCCACGGCCTCGGCGCTCACCCAGAGTACACATGGACGTGCCAAGCTCCAGCGAATTCGACAGACGCAGCCAGCGTACAGCGCGTTCACCTGCTCAAAGACCTTCTGCTGCCCGACTTCCCGGCTGCCAGAATCCTAAGCTTTGCCCACAACTCAGACTGGCTCATCAATGCCCCCGTTAAAACGGCCCAGGAGATCGGCTACATGCTCCTGCAGCAGTTAAAATGCCACCGATCAAGGCATCCGGTACGATTCCGCGAATGCCTCTAAGTTCACCCTCCGCCTCGCGACCAGACCCCCTCGCGACCACCCCCCACCTGCGCATGAAGGCATCGTCAACCTCGCCGTCACTCTGCAATAGCTCGTCAGCCACCAAATAAAAAGGCTTTAAATTAATTGACCTGCACCTCTATGCAACTCTCCTCATCACTATCACTTTCAATTAGCTCCACCTCGTTGTCGCTACTGTCGGTGTTGTTATCTGTGCTGATGTCCAACCCCATCTCCCGCCGCACCTGTCTCTTCGCGCGTTCGACGTTTATAACGGTAACGAAGTCTTTGTTGGGATCCGGGTCGACTTTGCGACGTTTGTTAGGCTTTAAAGCCTCCAATGCAGCTTATAGGCGGTCTTTTTGGTGTTCTGCAGTGGTGTATCGGAGGTTCGAAGTCTCAATTGCCTTCGCCACCTTCTAGAACAGCTTCCTACACGTCGCTGTCGCCAGCGCAGAATCGCATTTTATCAGTACCTGATGCAATGCATAGATATCGCGACCTGTTTTTGGCGTTTTGACGTCAATTGCGCATAAGGGCGTCAAAAAGTCCGGCTCTGTAGCCGTCATTTGGGCCTGATTTGGGCCATCTTGAGATGTCGACTGGGACTCCTCAGGGGTCAACGTCACGAACCGGGAGCTCAACGCTTTTGACCTATTGTGTGGCCACACCCCCGTGCCTCTGAAGCCGGCCATTATGTTCTCCTTGTTCATCTTGCTTTTGCGCGCAGTTTCATATGCCTCAAGAAACTCCCGCTTGCCTGGGGTCTCGTTCATGGTGTCGTAAGCAACCTCTGTAACCGCTGTACGGTAGGCCGACTTCACCGCCGAGAACACGCCTACGTCAAGTGGCTGAAGAACATGTGAGGTATGAGCCGGGAGGTAAATCAGCCAGATCTTGTTGATGAAGCATTCCCCCATGAATTCCTCTGTTGCGTGCGACTTATGGCCGTCTAGGAGAAGGCATCGCCACTGACCAGGAATAGCAGGAACCGTGTTGGGGATGAACAACTCCTTGAGCCATTTCAGCGCAATATCATTGCTGGTCCACCCGTTTGGTGAAGTCTCAAAACACCAATGCTTCCATCGATCGATTTTGACATCAGGAAACCATTGCTGTTGAACGGACTGGCCCTTGAAGATAACCAATGGAGGGATGGAACGACCGCCGGCAGAAATGGCCTCAATTATCGTGATCCAGGTCCTCCTGGCGCCGTCCTTTTTCAACGTGAACTTGCGCAGAGCATCACTGACCACGAAGCCATTGTGACCTAGGCCTTCTGCCACTCCGCACTCGTCCACGTTCCAGATATTCTCGGGCTGCACCTTTCTGCGCTGCAATGACGTCAACCGGCCGAAGAAGATATCAATGTTGGCCTTGCAGGCACCGTTGTACCGTTTGTATTCGATAAGTCGTGATCTCGAGGTTGTCAAGGTTGGGTTTCGGTGGATGAAACGACGGTACCAGTGCTGCCCAAGATGTGCGGCGGGGTCGTCGATCGACAGCAGCCGCATCGCGAAGTGCTTGAATTGCTTCAATGGTGCTGCATAGCCCAGCTTGGCTTGGTCGAGGGCCCAGGAGACCATATAGTCTTCCTGGGTGACGGAAAGGGCTTGTCGGACTTGGTATTTTTGCTTGAAGGTTGGAACGGCCTTGAGGCGACGACGTAGGTAGGATCTGTCGACTTCGTGTAGTTTGGCAGCTGTCGCAATAGGTACGCCAGCCTCGATGTCGTCCAGTGCGCGGCGGGCGCGCAATTGGTAGTCTTTTGGCACCATGACGATAGCCTCATTTTTGGGGTTTGTAATGGTCGTAATTATGTCGCAGAGAGACGCGAGGAAACTGGTTTATATGGCAGATTGTATGGTGGGGTGTTTGAACGCGTCGCGTCGCGACCCCTGGTCGTGATGCGCCCTGGTCGCGAGGCGGAGGGTGGACTTACAACAACAGCCACATGTAGTGAAAGTGAAACACGGCTTTGCCCGCCTCACAGGAAAATGACGTCACCCGAATCACTCACCCCCTCTCCCAATTCACGATTCCCCATTCACCATCTGTGAGAGACCGTGAATGACCAGCCCTCAACATCGCTTGGCATTGAGCGAATCCCTGCATAGCACCTAGCTAGCCAGTGAGCCGAGACTAGAACAGAACCGCGCGCCTTAATCTTGACATCTCTAGTGGCGAGCCCCGCTGGGCTGGGGGCATTGGTACTTTCGTCCTGGGCGAACCCACGGCACGCGGGGACGGTACGGTACTTTTGCTGCTGGTCGGGCAAAAGGCGTGAGCCGGTGGAATTGCGGTCCGGGGAAAGTGGGGCCGCATCGTTGCCGGTCCCGTCACGACCACTTTCGAGTGCACGCCGTCAAAGTACAAAGGGTCGCTGGGCGGCTGAAAGTTTCCTGCTAGGCAGATGGCATGGTGCCTTACACAACTTTCTTACAACACCGGAGGAATAAACACCTCTCGTAGTTCACACAACACTCACCAACGTTTTCTCACATTCTCTGTGAACCATGGCACCAAGCACCACCACCAATGGGTCCGGCAAGGACAGCAGCATTGATATCAAGGCCCAATGCCTCTGCAAGAAACACTCGTTCACCGCCACGGTGCCCTTGGCCTCCCTCCCACTCAAGGCCACGGCCTGCCACTGCGACTCGTGCCGGTACAACACTGGCGCTCTGTACAGTGCCGACGCTGACTGGCCCGGCGACCCGGCCGCGGTGCGCGAGTCGGGGCTCAGCGTGTACTACTTTTCGGACAACATCAACGTCTTGTTCTGCGGACGGTGCGGGTCGACCATGTTCTTTGAGCAGAAGGAGCCTGGAAAGGTGGAGACGTCGTATGCCGTCTGCACGGGGGCGCTGCCGAATGTAGAGCTCCCCGGCGGTGGTCCGCTTGTGACGATCGAACACCACATGTTTCTGGATGACACGAAGGACGGTGGAGCTTCGCCGTGGCTAAGGAATACCGATTACGACGTGGAAAACGGGTGTTACAAAGCTGCTCGCCGCTGGCACGGACGGAGGTTCAAGAGCGATGAGATCCTTGAAGGAGACGACTGGCCGTCTCTCAAAGACCTTTCCGTCATGACTGGCGGTGCAGCAGCACAAACTCATGCGAGCGATTCACAGGAACTGGGCGACATTACAATTCCAGTCAAATGCAGGTGCGGCGGCGTCCACGTGGAGCTGCTCGCCTCGGTGGCGAGGAAAGAGTTTTCGCAGATGCCGCGGGACCAGCTACCACGCTTCGTCGATCCGGACAACAACAAGTCCATCGCGTCGTTCGACGTGTGCGACTCGTGCCGGACAGTCTCGGGCTTGGACATCTTCCACTGGACCTTCTTCTGGCTGAAGCACATCCGCTTTCCGCAGGACGCCGCCAGCTCGTCGCGACCGGTATTCCCCGAGTCGACCGCGGCGCTGAAGAAGGCGGTGCTGCAGAACGAAGAGGAGAGAGATCCTGGGCTCGGCGCGCTTAGGATGTACGAGAGCTCTCCAGATGTGCAGCGCTACTTCTGTGGAGGCTGCTCGGCCGTGGTGTTTTATGCGGTTGACGATCTAGCTAACCAGGTTGATGTTGCTCTTGGTCTTCTCCGTGCGCCGCCAGTGGGCAAGAACACTACTGATGGCAGTGACGTCCACGGCGGTGCCCGTGCCGAGCATCTCCTCAGCTGGAAGTTTGGCGGCTCCATGGGCTGGCAGCAGGATGTACAAGGAGGATGGAGAGACGGCCTGGTAAAGATTGTGACTGATGACGTGACTGCGTGGAGGGACAAACGAGGGTTGGCAAAGAACTGGCGGGTCTGAAATGACGAGAAGGCGGCTGTGGAGGGGGCAAAGAGCGGTTGAGATGACGCATTCTGGGCACGGAGAGATGGTCGTTGGCTTACCAGGCTTGCCCACTCACGAGAGCGCTGCTGGCCAGGATCACATGAATAAAGAGACGGATGTGATGAAGAGCAGAATGAACCTTGACCCCGGAGGGGGGCGCGGTAGCCAGTCAGCCATTGAATCTAAGCACTCGTTGTACGTACACGTTCATATAAGAGGATGCCTCGATGGGGAAATGTGTCGCGTGCCTCGTTCTGCCAAGAGCCAGCAGCAACAATAGCAAGGCAGTGTCTGGGATCTGGGATGACATCCTGGCTTTGTGGATATCTCCACCTGGGGGCTAATTGAAGCGTGCGGATCGGAGCTTTAGTGCGAGGAAGTGCGCGGCTGTGAGCTGAGCAATCCCAGCGGCGAGTGCAACGCTGCTATTTCTGAGTCGCCGGTGCTGGTGTTGGCCATGCCAAGTGCCACAGAGTTGAAACGAGAAGCGTCGAGTGTTCGTGGGCCGCAAGTCTTGGCTGTGTGTTCCTGTTGGCTGTACAACTGTGGTGGTGGCAGGGGTCCTGGCTGGGCAGTGGGACACCACCAAATAAGCTTGTCTGATCTGGTATTAGAGCTGCCGGTGCCGTCCGATTGACTTGGGCTTGTGCAGGTAACCTTGATACGAGCAACGAGATGTTTCCCGGCTTGTGAATGAGAGCACGAGTGAATGCGAGAGTCTCAATCACTTCGCCGTCGCACCTGGCGCTGCAGTGTGAGGTTATGCGGCGGGCAGGCGACAGGTGCGACCGTGTGTGCGGGCCTTCCATCCATAAAGTACCCTGCTGCCATCCATCCGCACAGCCTTGAAACAAGATCGTCGGCTCCGGGTCACAACCTCGTCTGCGACTCCCGCCCCGACTCTGCGACGCCTTGGCAGCAACGCTGCTCCACGAGCATGGCCAACCATCACCCTCCCCTCGTCCCAGCTGCTGCGGTGCTCCGCCCTCGGTCCTTGCGCAGCCCGGCTGGGATTTTTGTTTCCATCTCAGCTGGGCGCGTCTCTCCTCCCTTGGCCAGCCTCTTAGGTCAACACCTGCTCGCTTTCTGGCCTTTGCCTTTTGTTTCACGCCGGCCTCTTCTCTTCATTTCTCCTCTTCGTTGATCCCGGTGACGACGACATTCTTTTCTTGACCAAGGCCCTGGTGGCATCGTTTCCCGGACCGCATTCGTAATTCTCCTTCCGATCGTTCGCAACCGTGCTTGCTTGTCGAGCACACAAAGTCATTCTTTTAGCAATACCGCCACTTTCAAACATACACGGCGGCCAGACGGCATCATCTTGACAGAAATAGACACGTCGCCAGGTACCAAGGACCAGGGATACGACTGCCACGAGATCCAACCGGTCTACGGAGACAGAACCACAACGCCAACATGGCCTACAACTTTCCCAGCACGATCAGCGCAGCACGGATATCAACCTTCATCAGCACAGCCGCCTGGATTCAGGGCACTGTCGCCACAGCCGGCGACGTCTGGCTGCCCGATGATGCACTCAACAACTTCCTGCAACGCCAAAGCCGAGCCGTCCTGTCTCGGCGCGATGACAACAACGGCACAGCACCCGCCCCCGGCGGTGTCGCCCCGCCAGAGTCTGAAGACTCCTCAGTGGGCGATGAAGAGTCTCTAGACTCGAGCGACTCGTCCGCCGACGGCGAGTCCGGGGCCGCCGATGGATCCGGCATTCATCCAACGATCTGAGAGCCGCCAGTCAGGCGCAGGCTTCGTGATGCGTGCGCAGCCTCAGGACGATGACGGCGTCCCCTATGAGCCAGCCTCGCAGTCGTGGAGACAGTCACCACCCCCCGGGCTTATGGCGGCGGCATCGCCCAGCCCACACTAAGCTGGTCAAACTCCCGAGTCGGACTGCCTTCGAACCCGCGGCCTGGATCGCAGCGTGGATCGCAGCGCGAGCTTGTTATCGGCGCGCCTATGATGGGTGGCCCTTCGTACAGGCGGGATCAGGACGCGAGGACTGTGGTTACAGCGGATACGGAGAGCACCATTTTCGAGTGGCGGTAGATCGAGTCCTGTTTGCACACACGAGCTTGTAGTTGTGGACATGTTGCTTGTACTTTCGCGTAGGATTCTATTGAGTTTGGCCTTTGGCTATGGTCGGAGGTTTTTTTTTAGGCGTGGATTATGATCGTAATAACATACAATTGCGAGATTTCCTTGGCCCGGATCTCCATTGGCTAGGTTCTTCTCTTTTTCGCTCGTTGTCAACATCATCTCGCACCGTTCTTCACTACCTTGGATTCCATAACCTGTGAAAAGTCGAATCTTACCTCAGCCGCATTCCGCGTGAGCAGCTTACATCTCTCACCAGTGCCAACCGTGAGGCCACCAAAAATACCGGGCACCCATTTCGTCCCTGAGAGGCCTGCTTGCTCACAGGACCGTAGTGGCCCTTGCAGTCACGCCGAGGAGGAGCATTGATAACTGCTAGGTTTTTAGTCCGACATTCACCTCTAGGTTACTTCACTCTACTTTGGCCCCAGGAAATCAACCTCGTAATTATGTAGGACGCTCATCTTTATTTTTCCTCCTCTATAGTTAAGTTATGCGGTTTGTGGGTCGGTGTGTGGGTCGGTGTGTGGGGTGGTGTGTGGGTTGGGATCACGAACAAACTCAAACAAACACGAACAAACACAAACAAACCCAGACAGCCCCGCGCTCGTCTCAGGTCGCCTGCTAGCCCCGGTTGAAGTCGCACTGCAGTGAACTTGATAGGCAGATTCTGATGGCCCACGATAACAGAGCAGAGAAGCGAGGTGTTACAATAAGTGGTCACTTGCCAGCATCGAAGAAAACATACAAGAATAGTTCTTTGTTACAATCATACGCAAACAGCCCATCCATCCCACGTTTCTTATTGTCCGCGGCGATACCTTGCTTGTGCGATACGCGCTTCTCGAAAAAAGCCCCCCCCCCCCCCCTTCCCCCTCCCCCCTCCTCTCCCCTGAACCGATGGCAGACACGACCGTTGAAGAAGTCGAAGAAGTCAAGGACGTCATCCATGTAAACACAGGCTCACCAGCGACCGACCATCTCCGGCCAGATGACTGCAGCGGAGCATCAGCTCAGAAAAAAAGACCATTATGTCACCCACACATAACTCGCTTGAAGAGAGGAGAGCGGCGACAATCAGCAGAAAGAGGACCCAGCCAGAAAGACGGTTGCGTGCCGAGGCGTACAGACACGAAAGCCATTACGCGCCAAAGAGACATGAGGCGTCAGCTCGTACGGCGGTCCGGTCTTGCCCTGTCACTCAATGCGCCGACTACATCGTTGCCAATGCGCCCATCGTCGAGTCCAGAGGACAACGACGCCCACCATCGAGCACCTTGTGCCGACTTCAGACAGTCACTTCGTACAGATGGCGACAGTAACATCACCAGCGCATGCCATCTCAGCTATGCTACTGACCCACAAAGCTGCCAGGGAGGGCGATCATTGCTTCACGGGCCGGCGTGCATTGCCACAGACTTCCAAGCGTCCCTCCTTTGCCATCCCCCAAAAAACCAATCGCGACCTCATTCTTACCGCCGATACGTGAACAGCGTCAACTCAGGACAGATTCCGAGCTTGGGGAACCCGCCTGGACGGTGGAACCATTCGAGACCGCAGGAGGATGGACAGAAGGTTTCGGGTGACTGGAAGAGCTCAGTCACACGGCTGCATAAAGAACAGCCGCAGTCAGTCCTATATTACCCGGAAGGAGGGGATTCGGTGACATACAAGAAACGTCATGATGGCTGTTTTCCAGGACAATTCACCAGCTCACCTGAACGAGTCAAATTCGCTAATATGGAGTACCAACTAACTAGAGTACTCGTTCTACTAGACTTTTGCTGAAGCCAATGAGAGAATTTCGTTTATAGCTTTGATTCTTGATATGTGTCCCATTCTTAAGTGATTGTCTCCCTGGGAATGAGTAGTAGTTCTACGATGCCTCATTGCAGTCTAAGTACGCTGCCGAGCCAAGAACGCAAATGTGTAGCACGTTATGCATAATGATAGTGTAGCGGTATATCGTCCTGAGGTGCAACTAAACTGTACACCAATATGCGACTCCTGTCGATGATAGGGTCGATTCCATTCTAGATAAACATGCAGAGCTTGCAGTCTAGGTACCCTTCATCCTCGCTCCTCAGCTCTTCACCTCAAGGCATTCTTTCTAGGTATCATTCCAGGAGTCTGTATCATTCCAGGAGTCTGTATTATTCCAGGAGTCTGTATTATTCCAGGAGTCTGTAAGTACCATAGTGATAGCGCCCCCAGGGTCTGTTATGTCTTCTCGAGTCTCTTAAAAAGGATCATTAGTGCTAGATAGCCTCACACGTGGTTGCCTTGCTGGACTCTACTTTCGGTGAAGCGCTTCGGAGGCGAAAGTAGATGCTTCCAGTTCATTGCGAATGGGTCGAGTTTGCGACTTCTGACACCTGTTCATAGTCTACCTCGGCACCGCTTAGAAATTGCCACAGCGTCCAAAGACAAGAACAATCGAGATGATACTTCTAATAACTTCGCTTGACGAGTTCGGGTCTGTCATGATGAATGGCGTAGGTGTCTGATCGAGCACTGCTCCCGGACAACCAGATTAAAGGAAGGCCAAACTTGAACGCATTATAAGAAATATCACAATAATCAACACATAACCCAATGACATATGAACCTGCTGCTTCTTACGCAACCCATGTGGCGGTTTTCGCTAGGGTGCTCTCGCATGAGTTCGTGGAGTTATTTCTGGACTTTTACGTAAAAGTCCTGCGAATCTTACATGGGGTACTTGAGGTCCATAAGCCATGCGATCTGGCCATACTTGCTACATATCGTCACACAGGCCTATTCAGTCGATTGCCTTTGTTCTACCACGGAAACAACTCTGTCCCCGCTTTGATCAGGCTCCTGGACGTAGCGCATTTACAGAAAGTCCGCTATCATGTCCGTCGTCTTCGCAAAGTCTGTTTCGTACGGGACGTCCTCAGACATCACTGCGGCGAAGCCAATAGACTTGATGTCTTGCTTGTGACCAACATGAGGACCTTTTCGACCACCCACCAACCGCTGGACCACTTGTCGGTTCGCGTTCCAGCGGGAACACGCCACATGGCAGTGATCGAACCATAGCCCGCGTCTGTGTATGCTTGTCGGAAGAAGGCGACAACTCGTGATGGCTCTCGCCGTGGAGTACGATCGAACATGTATGCGGCGCCGGTGTCTTTATCCACGTGAAACAGGATCCAGTCGTCGCCGTCAAGCCAAGGGATCACCAACGCTCCCGTGGTCTGGTCCGTTTCATCTGGAACAGTCTTTCCCAGGGTCTCAATGTCAAGTCTTTAGCTCTCTAGCATACGGAATGACGGCAGAACCATACGTGTCGCCAAGAATGTCCCATACTCAACGTCTTGAGGATCAAGAGGATGCTGTTGCAGTCGTTTGGCTAAGATGGCGAGAAGCTTAGGTCCATGGATCCGCCTGAAAGCCTCCTGACTTGCAGGTGATGATCCCGTCGCTGCGTGCGGTTGCTGAGACTGGATGGCATCCAGTGTCGGAAGGCGAAAGATATGGAATATCAGCCGGCCTGTCGTATAGAAGTTGTAATTTCTCATTGAATGCGACCGTTCTAGATGTTGACCAGCTCCTGATCTTCTTCGAAGCCTGGATCCAGCGGACCAACGCACTTGCCGTCAGAGTTGGGCACTAGCCAATTCGACCTTGGTCGATCGCGGCGATGAAGCGAGTTCCCTCATCAGCCACCCTGGCCAGGCTCTTGTCAGGATCTTGGAGATCCCGATACTTCTCGTCGGGCATTGCTCAGCAGTGTCTTTCGTGGGGCGAGTAATAGATCTATAACAACGACGAACTGTGAGCGCTTTCCATGATGAGCGACACTGTTGAAAAAGTACGTATGGAGTCAGAATGCGCTTGGCTTGGACGGCAAAATAACGTGAGTCGAATTCTCCGGCTTTCGAGCTCACTCGGTCGCAAGATAAGCAAGCTTGCCCCACATAGTCGGTCGGTGATAAGGAGTTGAAAGCCTTAGCAGGCAGGCCACAAGTTAGGGGCGCGTCCCAGACATCCGGTACCAGGAGCGGAGGAGGATCTACAGTATTCGTGGTACATTATTGCTAGACTCAACATCAGTATGGTTCAGCACCTCTAGAAATATGAGTTAGACGTAGGTCTACCTGAATTTCTGTCTTTAGTATCCTTTGGAATGCCCGGCGCGGTCTAGTTTCGTCGGGTCTTCCTTCGGGGTAGAGCTGGTTCAAGCCATCAAGGGTATGCAGCGTATCGTTTATAACAGTTTAGCTTTCAATCCAAACAGATTATGGTTGCAATTTTCCACAACGGGGCATATAAAAAAGACTGGTGCGGCAGAGGAGAATGAGAAACAGTTCAAGACTACCACACCCGTAGGACATGCGTCAATATGTCTACCTTCCTTCTATCGGCATTAGGGGGTGATCAAGATGCGTTATCGACAGCGCTGGGAGCGGAAATAGACTTTCCTCGCTGCTCCAGTCCTGAGTTAATACAGCCGAATACGCAACTAAACCAGGATTTTGTCCTTAAGCCCGCCCTAAATAGTGATTGCTCACGCATCGTGAGCATCCAGACCAATAGACGCGGCTCGCCCTTGCCACTCGTGTGCGCAGCTTGGCCTAGAGAGGAGAACAACCCCTCATTCAAAGCTACACAGATTGGGTCGAATAGCAGCATCAATATCGCTCAACTCGGCCAGGAAAACCAAGCTCCAGCTGAGCGACAAGAGTCGCTCGTAACTCAGGTGTACAACTATCTCGACCTGGGAAACCCAGCAGTAGCATGGAGCTTCCACGAAGAGCTCAGCAGTATCAGCGACATATCTGTGCAGCAGCTACGTAGAGACGACTGCATAGCAAGCAGCCTAGCAAGGCCACCTTCCAAGGTGGGTTTCATTCCACGGGACATACATGTCAAGGCAGGCGAGTCGCACTGACAGATTGATAAACCACAGGGCAGTGCAGCAGCCCAAGCACAGAAGTCCCCGCGCTGGAGGGCCTTGAAGCTGTACATCCAGGCGTGGGAGGCATTGTAGGAGCAGAACAACAGATCAAAAATCCGCGAGTGATAGCAGATCCACTCACACAACCGACAGATATTGTTTGATTTACTATATAGGTCGGCGATTAGCACATACTTTTCTAGGCACGCAATTCGACATGTTTTCTCCGGAGCGCGTGAAAAAAGAGACAGACGGTTGGCCATAATCCAGGATTGTTGTTATAGCTGCTGTATCTTCTGTGCAATTACTACACGGGCATGAAGAATTGCTACCCGGGCATGACTCTTACACGGGCATGACCTTTTGCAGCCTCTGATTGGTCCATCCCTTTTTGTTAGTGCATCTAGATTCTGCCAACGCTTCCCTTGTACCTCGGGATTAGCTCTCCACCACGACGATCGACGAGACATATGGAAGCTATTCACTAGCTAGCTACTACACCAATTACCTCTTGTCGCATGTCAAGCCTACTGATAATGATTGTTCGTGAAAGATACCATATTTGTCAAGGTCCCAGGGCTCCAGGCGTGGTGTGTTAGGCCCCCTGCTGAGACCAACACTCAAACACACGCTGTATCAGGAATATCCAATAGCCTCATCTTCCAAGGCATCTGCATCACAAAGCAGGTCATTCCTTTGTGCTGAAATTGGTCCCCTCTTTCCTTCTTTCATAGTCAAATCAACTGCCCCTTTAACCATGCTCTCATCCGTGCGTGCGACACTCTTCCTGTCGCGATCAAGGCCGTCATTATGTCCCAGCCCGGCTCTCGATCTAGCTCAGCAAGCAACCAACGACTTCGAAGCTATCAATTACGTCCTCGAAAACGACAGCGGCAGAACCAATCTGAGAGTTCAAGACCACCTTCGTCTAATAGCACAGGGACGAGCATTGGCCCACACTATGGCGTGGGAGACGACGAGGCACTCTGTAATGCTTTCGCCTCGTACCCAGAGACCTTCACGACCGCTCCACGCCCCCATGGATCGCGTGGGCTGAACGAGCCACCATAGGAGCTGCGATTCGATTATGAGATTCACCTATCGAATGATTTCCCAACCCGAGGAAGACGGTCGCAACGAGTAAGAATGCCTATACCAGGCCCGGAAATCGACCAGCCACCTGCCTGCTCTCCACAACAATCAGCACAAGAACAATTCTCTCCAACAAGACCCCAGTTTCAGTCCGCCCTTAGGCTAGTGCGCGAGGTGATTGGGACAGATCGAAGACTTACCATCGAGCTCGTCCGGTCATACGAACGAGTCCGCCAATGGCGCGAGATATGGGGCTACTCGCCGCTCAGTTCAACTCCATTCGAATCATCTCCGCCATACTCGCCTCCCCGAGAAAGGCACTCTCCGCCTATCGCCTCGCCGCCCTCGCCCGACCACCCCTTGTCGCCTGTCCCTGACCCGATCCCGAACCCACCTATCCCAGGCGACCCAGCGCCGTCAGCCGAAGTCCTGTTCGAGTGGGTGAATACTTTCGCGAAGGCTAATGGCTTCGGTATTGTTCGACGAAATGCCTACTCATATAAGGGTCGGAAGATCCGGTACTCTTTCCAATGCGATCGATTCGGAGAACCACGCCCCTCAGAGAGTACCGGTATTCGGCAACGGAAGTCTCGAAAGTGTGGTTGTAAATGGATGGTCATTGCCGAAGCACTGGAGGAGGGTAGATGGCTTCTACGACACCACGATAATTCCGAGCATAGCCAGCATAACCACCGGGCCAGTATCAAACCATCCGCCCATCCCTCCCACAGACGACTCACTACACCTATCAGGGCAACAGTCGAATCGACAAGCCGTCGGGTCGGAATTCGGGCCCGTGACGTACGCGCGATCGTCCTGGAGCAGCATCCCGAGTCATCTTTTACACGAAAGGATATCTATAACGCCAGGTCTCGTATCAGTCGAGACAAGTTGAGCGGCCACACTCCTACTGCAGCACTGATCAAGCTGTTCGACGAGATGGAGATTCCCTATCTTGTTAAGTGGGCGGATGATGAGCCAAACCGCCTCGTCGGTCTTGTCTGGACCTTTCCGTACTGCCTCCAGATGTGGAAGCGGTTTCCTGAGGTCATCAGCTTCGACAACACATACAACACCAACCGCTTCAAGCTTCCATTATTCCAAGCAACAGGACAGACCTACCTTGGTTCTGTCTACAATGCGGCGTTCGGTCTGATCGACAACGAGAGACGGGAGGGGTTCCAGTTCCTCTCTGAGACCATTCGACAGATCTCAGAGCAGCACTCTATTCGCCAACCGGACGTTATCATTACTGACTTCGACGGTCAGATGAAGGCCGCCCTGAATGATCAGTTCCCTGATGCACAGCAGCAGCTGTGCATCCACCACATCAATTCTAACGTCTTGCTCAAGTCAAAGCAGAAGTGGGTCAAGGGCCAATGTAGCAGTAGTAGTCCCGACAGCAGCAACGGGGAGGACTACGCTCCACAGGCACAGGCTGAGCTCGGCCCGAAAGACGGACAGTTGGTCAACGCGCAGACAGCTGAAGTCGTCCCTCATAGCCATCGAGGGGTTCTCATGATGTGGAAGGTCGTCTTGTTTGCGGAGACAGAGGAAGCTCACGAGAAGGCGTGGGGAAGCCTCTGTAGGGAATTTGACGATCAGCGGGCCATCCTGCGGTATCTCCATGGAACCTACATGCCTGTCAGGGCGCAGTGGGCACGATGTTTCATTCGCAACTATCGCAACTTCGGCATCCGCGTCACATCTGGGACAGAAGCAAGCAACAACAACATCAAGAGCTATCTCCTGAATGGTATGAGCAATCTCTATCGGCTTATCGAGGCTATGCAGGACATGATGAAGGACCAGGAGCGAGATTTCAACGACGCCTGCGCAGCGGACGAGGTACTTACCGCGCGAGAGTACATAGGGTCCAGCTCGGAGTATCTAGGCGAACTCCGGACAGCACTCTCTTCGAAGGGTCTCGGGCTGATCAACAAACAATATCGGCTAGCAAGGAAAGCAATGCCGACGGGGAAGAATCCGTTCCCTGACCCCATTGGCGATTGCAGTGAGGACTGCTCGGTTTCGACCGAGCTTGGAATCCCCTGCTGCCACACAATCTACTCAAAGCTGGTGAGTGGCACGCCTCTCACCAAATGGGAGGTCCATCCTCGGTGGCGCCTACGAGAGCCATCCTCTCGAGATCCATACCGACGAATCCTCGACCCTAAGATCGCCACTGCTCTCCGTGGCAGACCTAAGAACACCACACAGGCTGTTCCAGCGCGGCTAGCCATTGAGGCAAGCAGCCAGCCGAGTAGCCAACGAGCCAGCAATCCAGCAAGCCAAGCGACAGGGCGCAGACGAGGTCGACCACCAGGAAGTCACAACAAGTCAACGCTAGCTAGGCTTGCTCTGCAAGCGAGCCAACAGGCCAGCAGCCAGGCTCGTAGCCAGGCCAGTGCCTCATCCCAGCGCCAGACGCGCAGCCGGTCAGCTGTTCTTGGAGCTGGAAGAACTACAGGAGTACGTGCCAACGGACGGAAGACGCAATCTAGCATTCGCAGGCGAAGGAGTCAGTGGGAGCTGCTTGACAGCGACGAGGAGGTTCTTCCATCTATAGTAGTTAGAGGATAGAGATATAGATAGCTGCCCTCTAGGGCGTGCTGGAATTGGCCGTGTTCTGTATTGAAAACCAGACCTTGTTTTGATATACGCCTAAGACCTGTTCTAGAGGCCTGGTTGACCTGGTTGGTTCTGACTATACCGAAAGCACGGCCTTGTTAAGAGAGCTTGCTTCACCGCCTTTGCACTGATGTACCTGTGGGTCGAAGGAAAAAAATGAGCGAATCAGAGGCGATAGAAGTCATGCCCGTGTAAGAGTCATGCCCGGGTAGCAATTCTTCATGCCCGTGTAGTAATTGCCATCTTCTGTGTCTCTAGCCACTTGAATGAGTCGGCTACGTTGGACCCGTCAATGCCCCTACTCAGAATCGGGTCGTCGTACCATTCCATATAGCCCTGATATATCGTCCGTTCTATTTTGGCAACCCGCATCACAATCCATTTGTTACATAATGCCGAGATCTTTGTCACAATTTGCGCGCCCAGGGGGTTTCTATTTATAGGAGCTCCACCTCTGCATCCGCTAGTTTTCCTTTGTCTTGAACCCTATAAAGTCTAGAGTTGAGCACACCTCTTTCGTCGTCATCGAAAATCACGATTGCAACTGTGCGACTGTGAATACAATTGCTTCAGCACCTGCCGCTACTCATTATCTTTACTGCGCCTTTACCTTATCCAAAAACCTTTGACAGCAACTAAAATGCATCTTATAACATCCTTCATCGCCGCCATGGCCTTTATGCCAAGCAATGTCTATGCAAGACATCATCATAAACTACTAAGGACCCCCAGCGGAGTCACCGTGGAGCTGATCAATACTAAAGGCGATATATTCTATCTTCAAGGCTTTTCTGCCAACCAATCTGTGACTTTGCGGCCTAGTGCTGACTTGGGTTACATTGGAAAAGTCCGGCCCATTCACTGAAGCTGCAGGGCAAGCCGCCTCGTCAGACCTACAGGCCGACTTCCGATGCGAGCTTCGTAATGCTGGCCAGAACAACAACCGAATCATCGTCACGCGAGACAAGAGCATCGACTTCACCTTCGGAGTTGGTAAAGCTTGGACACTTCAGCCTGGCGGGCCTGTCGAGGCTTCTCACTTGCGCGTCACGTGCGATCCAGCACTGAGAAAGACAGATCCCGATCAGCGTGTTGAAATCCGCGTAACTCTGTCAAAAAGTTCGGAGGAGTTTGCGCGCCAGCTTGATTTCTCGGACTCGGAGGGTCGAAACGACCAGATGCAATCGGTTGGTGGCACTTTCACTCATGTAGAGCTCTTCGTAGGCCCTGGAGTGGACAATCAAGCGCTCCGTTGCAAGGCATTGAACCGCGGGCAAGTCGTGCTGCTCAACCGAGGCATCAACCTGAACAAGCAAACCTTTGGCGACGGGGGCAACGGGAGGTGGACAGTTGCTGGAGGGCTTAGTGAGATCGACGAGGTCATCTGTAGTCCGACATTCCGCTAGAGGAAGACTAAGCACCGACAAGCCTGCTTCTCTACCCTCGACCACATACCAGCCATGTCCCATAGTATAGATTTTCATTTGTAGTAGCTCATCTTTATCTGTTCTATTCTGTCTTCGATTAATTAGGAAGTCCAGAGGAATCTGAATCACACTATAATCCGGATGTGACAGGCGGCTGAAATGGAGGCCATCTGGAGTTGCAGTCCTATCCAGTCTTGCTCAGGCTCCGCTTACAACGGCCCCATTCCACAGGACGAGCAGTGTACACACGACATCTGGGCCCTTTCCCTCTTTTGCGCCTATGGACTACCGTCCTACAGAATCGTTGGATAAGAGGCTGCACACTGCCAGAACAAGCGCAGCGTGCTTTGGTTTTAAGGCGACTAAGCATATCGTCCGGAGAGCTTCCGAGTGGAGCTGTTTGGATACGAAACGATGGCAAGGCAATGAAACACGAAGGGAATAAAAAATGGGTTGCTCAGACGTAAAGACATGCAATGGTCAGCAAGTACGCGGAAAGTCTAGAAGAAGCTACTATTTGTCATGACAGCCCAGTTGATTGGCGCTCTCTGCAGCAACTGCGACTGCACCTGCACACACCGCGGGACGCACAGCGTGGCTGTTGGGCCTTAATAGCACCAACGCGGCCATCTCTTTTCACAGCAGCGACATCAGGGGCTGCGCACCCAAGACTGTAAGCCCTCCCTCCTCTGCCTTGCCCGCAGGCTGGAGGTGTGCCGCCTTGTCTGACTTCTCAATAAGGTTGTCCCCGTGCAGGCCAGAAACTGGCACAATGCTGATTCTATCAGACGCGTGTGACATGGTCAGTCTCGGTGGCCTTGCTGCGGGGGCCGCATTATAATCGCACCAGTCTTACTTGGATTGCGCCAGCTTGATCTTAGCGAATGAGTGTGCGACCTGCGCGAAGACAGTCTCCGACCAGTTGGTCAGGTCCCTGAGTCGCGTTAGTCGTAGATAGACATTAACCATGGCAGTCACTTACATTTTAGTAGCAATTATAATCAGCTGCTCCTCGACACGGAGCTTCCCGGAAGACAGGAGGGACGCAAGCCTTTGGCTCGAACACGCTCCGTAGTCATCAGCAGACGCATCTACAGCCCAGAGGGCAACATCAGCATTTCCGGGAATGTCTTCGGTGGAATGATTAGTCTTTTCCAGATGTCGAGGATAGTCATGGTTACCTGTGATCGTGTATTGGGCCGAGGGGCCGTGGAATGAAACGGGCCTGCCTTGCTGTCGGTAAAGGGTTGATGTCACGATAATCGCAAACCCGACTCTTCTCGATGGGTGCAATCTCAGGAAGGGAAGCCCCGCACTAGAATTGAATGTTTCAGCTGGGATGGAACCAGGGCCAGTCATCTTTCTCGTGATTTACCGTGAAGACCAGGTGCCAGGTCAGAGTCTTCTTTCCGGCGTCTGCATCTCCTAGGACGCACATTGCTTTTGAAGCCATTGGACTTGTGTTCGAGCCTGACGTAACTACAAGTGCCGGACGAGGACATGTACGTTCTTGGTGACAGCGGATTAGGGATCATCCTGACCCTAGACCAAGCTTTATGGGTTTTTGGTCTAGTCTATCGGCGGAGCTCGTACAAAGCCGAGGCAAGCAGCTTGTATCTCTCTCTGGGGTCGTCGTGTTGTTTGGAGAAGAGATCGTTCCTTCCGCCCTTCATATGCTAGATCGATGAGTGCTGCAATGCTACTTCCAATGGCAGGTGAGGATGAAAGGCACTGACTTTCTGGCAAGGGTTTCTTCAAGGCTGTATGCACCTCTCCTCCCGGCCAGAATTTTATAGAGATCACATGGCGCTTGCTATCTTCGTGCTCCAAGATTACTATGATTCCCCAAGTCCCGTCGATGGGGATAATGGACCCCCTTGTCTCCCAGTGGGGCCACGATGCAATCCTTCTGGTAGGGCTCTGGCTGATGTCCATGCATGGTCTGTTTTTGTCATCAGCTGGAACCATGGCCTGTTCGGCTGGCCGTCATATTTGTGTGTTTACGGGCTTTCCGATACTGTAGCATTATGGCTTACGGCCAGTTAATTCGCCTGCGGTACTGTCTGGCTGGATCTTCCATACCATGGATCGGTACAAAAGATATCGGAAGATTCTGTTTTTTTTCCTTCTAACGAGCGACGAATGTTAGCAGACTGTCCCATATCAAAAACTGGAAGCTCCTGAATGATAGTCAGCCTGATAGTTTCTAGGGGAACTCATCCACAAGAACAAGCCACTGTTTGCAGAAAGAAGAAATGAAGATGATACCATAATTTCGCGGCTGCTATGTACCTCAATTCTACCGCAGTATCACACCATGGATAGCGGCAAGGTCATTTCCAACTATTCATCGGTAATGGCCGTGCGTATCATCATTCACCTATCTCATCGCACTTTTGGATGAGATATTTCTCGTAACAGTTAGGCACTAAGATAAAGCAATCCACTGGGTTCTCGTATCTTTTACTGCTAAGACAGCCCCCCGCAAACTAGCCTATTCTGCCATAAGTTGGTGCAAAGGATACCACGGACGTTGAAGCCCAGATCCCAAGGCGCTAAGCACCCCCTCGCCCCTGTAACACATGATTTGCTTGTGGGTCATCCAGCGGAAACAAACTTCGGGAGGCCTCTATGTGGCTGTGGGAGAGACCCCCACCTCTGTACTTGGTAGGGAACACACAGAGTGGGGCCCGACCCACCGTGTCTTCTTACCTCGTTTAACGTTAGCAAGTCTCACTATTGTTGCGAACAAACTGTTCACGCTCCGAATCACGCACGGACACATATTTGTGGTGGTTGGATAAAGTGTCCTAGGAAACTGATTACACAAAGAAACAATCCCGCGCTTACAGCAGGTCTGCAGCACCTAACCCATAATTATGGCAGGTCAGATGTATAGCATCTGTGTATATGTGTGTGAAAATCAGCTCAGCATTCATCTTTCGTAAATGTGCGCTGAATTACCTGTTTGGACCGCTCCGCGCTCGAGGCCTATACTGAGTTTGCGACATGGTGCCGGCGATTTGTGCCCTGCCGAGGCGAATCAGAACGAGATCGCGATTGAGCGGTATCTGGTCTACCAGGAATTTGAATAGCGGTAGGTGCTTCTTACTCCCCGGGATCATGAGTGCCCATGTCGTGCTGTTGCGAGGATCATCTTACCGGCCATTGCCGGCATTCGACTCAATGTCCGGCATCTCCGATCCCCGTCCAACCTGATTCCAGCTGAGCAAAACGCGCCGCATGATGCTTGCGTCCAAACGCGATCGCGCACTTGCAGGCTTCTGTGCAACGTCGTGCAGACCCCCTGCCGTAAAAACCTCTCGACACGACACTGGAATCACCTATTCAACAGATGCTGGTTTTTAAGTATTGCCGCTTTATGTGCACACAGCGACATGGTCGAATTTTGCAAGAACCCGGGTCTAATACTTGCTTATTTGCTCACATGGGCAAGGCCCGCACCGCCCACGCTCTACTGTTTACCTCACAGAAGCTGGGTAAGTAATGGGTAGATTTCCTCAACCTGCTTCCTCCCAGACGTTATGTAATTGCTCGTGTGCTTGGCTGTCGTGAGACCTTCACTTCCTTACGCATGGCTACAAGAGGCAGCCTTGGAAGATATTAACAGCCGCCAAGGGCGGACTTGCCAGGTCTTGTCGCTGGCTCTAGGCGGCGCAAAGTACGTTGATATGCTTCTTGACTGAAAAAGTACGAACGTCACTGGTTCAGTCCTTCACTGCTTCACGACGACCGCAAAGGTAAGGCTTGTGGCACCATTTTCCACGTGTCCCTCATGGGTCACCTTGATCATGATATCGTCCCGTAATAGATGAGTCAAAATGGGTCCTATTTATGGAGTGTCCGCGTCCAACCTGCGGTGACCCGGCGTGATAAGTGGGAATTGGCACTCCCGCTCAATGTGGAAGGGGCAATACATCCATAGCTTCTCCAGATTCTTCACGTGGTCCATGGATAAGTCGGAAAAACAATTTATTGTGTAAATTTTGTGCGTACACTATGAGCTAGCCGAATGGATGCGGGGTAGTTTCGCACATAAACACAATATGTCCTCGACGGCTCTCTAAACCAGATTACGAAATCATCCTGCTGTTCAAGGTGTCGAGTATCTTGGCATGTTGACCGCGGCCATTGTCCAACTGGTCGGCCAGTTTCTGCGAGCGATCAATCAAGACATCCAACACCTTCTTGGTGTAGTCAAAGCTGCCGGTACCTTGCATGTACTTGACTGCGCGCCGCTTCACCTCGACGTCCGCCGTTTTCTGCTTCAGGATGTTCAACAGCAGCGGATTTGATTCGTCGGAGCGAATGCTGTGGATTATAGGAAAGGAGAACTTCCCCTCTGTCAAATCCTCACATATCCCCTTGCCCTGCGTATACGTGATGTCGAAAAGGTTCTTGTAGTCATCAGCGATCTGGAAAATGAGACCCATGAGATGAGCGAGCGGCACGCAATCCAGTAAGGCCGTGGACTCGGCTTGCATGAGCTTTATGGCAAGACGAAAAAGCCCACCGGTCTTGTTGCCGACCATTTCGAGATATTCCGCTTCCTCGGGGCAGTGGAGAGTGTCGCGCCAAAAGAGGTCCATCCCCTGACCTCGGTGGAGATTGATCACCTCTTCGACAAAGATGTCGTGAGCCTTGGGATTATCAAGTCGCTTCAGCTCGCGCAGGGCCAGAAAATAGGCGTAATTAGCAGAATTGATTGTCTGCGGTGTGCCAAAAATACTGTGTGCTACAGGTTGCCCTCTGCGAAGCAGCGAGTTATCCTCGATATCGTCCAAGAGCAGTGATGCCGTATGCAGTGTACTGACTACTTTGATTATAATGTCGAGGCTCTCCTGTGGCACTTTGAGCCACTCGTTGAAGGCATCCAGTATGAGGCTCCGGATTTCCTTGCCTGGATGTGAAAGTAGGTAATTGTAAGGCCCAAGGAGGATTTTCTCCCTACCATACGGCCACGCTGTCGAGGTCACGGTAAAGTCTGCCGTCGCAAAGCGGCAGGCGTCCCATGAGCTCGGTTGAGTCGATGGGGAGCCCAGGGTCTCCTGGGCATAATTTTCCGACACCATTTCGGTGGAGGTTTTACTTTAATGTCCGATTGCGTGCCAATGGACGGTCTCAGAGGCTGCGTATCAAGGTCAACTCTTTGGTCCGCCGTCAAGACGAGCAGCAATAGCAGCCGGTGTGAGGTCAACGTCTTCTACAGCCAATTGACATATCGAGGTCAAGATGTAGGCACAAGACTTGCAGGCATTCGCTTTCCTGATTGTGGTTGATAAGGTAGAGACGATATGGTTATAGGATAGTAAACCACCACAATCACGCCTGTTTGGGGCCAAGCTTCAACGCTGTTTGTTTGTATGCTGTATATCAATCTGGTCTTACCTCATCCTAAACATTGTGCTACATTGTACTATGCTGCATGGATTGATCTTGCTGTTGTTGGCCAAAAAACATGCCACAAGTTTGAAACAAAGAGGTGGAGGTCATTTGTTGCGCATTATGCGTACAGTATTACCAGGAAGATGAACATCAGCGTGGTCGCTAATGGTGAAAGGATGTTGCTGCTTCGGGGCGGGAGCGCGGGGAGCAGATATCTTTGGTGGGCTCAAGAACGGCTCGTAACTTCACCTTGAACACGACACTTTACTCGACCAAAATTTGAAGCAGATACTTAATTCCAGCTCGATTAAAGTACACAGACACCATAATTGTACCATTCATCGCAACACTCGACAGCTTCGCAGATGGCTTTAGTATGTGCTCGCAGCAGCATCCACACCACAACAGTAGGAGGCGACGCCAGTGCGTATTTCCAAGTGCTGCCTAACTCGCTGCCAACCTGGGCCAACCTTGGGGTCCAAACCTACTTCAAGCTCTCCTTCGTAGGGACGAATGCCCGATACTTCGACAGCGTACTTGGTGTGATCAATGTGCTCTTCTTCCTTGGCGGTATAATCGCCGCACTGGCCGACAACCTGGCTGTCGACAGTTTCCGCCGCAGGCATGCCTTAAGAGGGGCATACGCACTGACTTTCATTGCTGGCGTCTTGACAGCCGGTAGCGCTCACATCGGAATGCTCACCGTTGTGCGAGTCCTTCGAAGCACTGGCCTTAGCCGTCTAATCACCCACAGCCCAGTTCGCCTAGCCGAAGTATCGATGGTACAAGGACGAGTCTTACTAACGGGACTCCACGGATTCTTCATGGTGTCTGGGTACTCAATCTCAGCTTGGTTTGGCCACTGGCGATCCTTTCTGACCGATCTCACGTTTGGCTGGAGAGGGCCCCTAGAATTCACTACATTCCTGGCGATGGAGCTTCTTATTGGCGGCATCTTTATCCCAGAATCATTGCTCTGACAGTGTATGAAGCGGGACGAACTTAAGAGAAGGCCCTAGGTTGGAAAGTTGGGAAGTCCCCGTTGAGCTATCGTACATGCGGCTACAATTATATACACAGCAGGTTCAAGGTTTTACAGAATTCTACTCTACCATCATAAGGCAACGTAAGCTCCATGGTTCTGCTTATTATTAAGGCACACATTGATTCGAGTCGAATTCTTCCCTGAGGTAGTGAGATACCTAGGCTTGAGTATCAAAAGCATCTATGTGACCCGCCTTCTAGGAGCTCGAGGAAACCACTGAAGCAATCTTGACCTCCACCCTAGGGCCCTTACGAGAAAAGCCTTGTAGTCGCACTGAAGAATGACCTTCGGCATAATAACGATGGACCAGAACCCGAATCGCTTGCAGGACCTGCCGAATGGTCTTCTTTTTCGACATCTGCTTCTTTATAAGGGAATTGCAGTTGCCTGTGTCCGATACTACTAGTTCTGTGTCCTCTTCAAACATGACTAGATTCGGATTGACGACTCGGGGGCCTCCAGTATGAAGCACATAAGCTAGGTGCGACGGTTCTTGCAATATGTCCCATTTCCATTGCATCGCAAGCAGCTCTTCTGGAGAATGTTGTGTAGGTGTCCTCTGCTCCAGCAGCAATCGGGTTGTATGCTCGATGAGTGGATGTTGATACGACAACCACTCGGCTACCTGGGCTAGGATATGATATGTTTCCCATACTTGATCGTCAACTTTGCCGATTACTGCCATAGAAATATGTTTCCTAATGTAGTAGCACAGGTTCTGGTAGCTTGCCTGGTCAAGTTGACTGGGATATGTAATGATTGTACCACGTTCTGCCCATTCCCCGGTGTATCGTCTGATTGCCTTTTCTTGTTCCTGAGGAGGAATGCTCATTGTAACCCGTATTGCGTCTTGACGCTTACTATCGAAGAGCCGCAGATCAAGGTAATGGATATGTTGTAATTCGTGTATACGGTGAAGGACCAAGGCCCTCAAGAATTGCGGAATATCTCGCTCCGGTATTTCGAATTGTCCCTGGCATATCGGGAGAAAATGTTCCAAAAGTAGGTTTTGTGAAATATTCCACAGCTCCTTACCCTTGATCCAGCTCCATCTATCCATCGGAGGTGATAGATAATACGAATATTCTGCGCCGAACATCCATATATCTATTAACCTAGCGTAGATATAATAAGTGCGTAACCTCCAGCCCACTTCGAGGCTTTGGTAGTGCTCCGCAATTTCGTCCCCAATAAGACTCAAAAGTCCCATAGGCCCGCTATGGATAATCTGTGTGGCGTCGTTCTTCCTTTGGCCCTTTCAATCCATCCATCGTCCGAGCATTATTTCTAGCCTGTCATAACATTCCTCAGTAGAAACTCGTTCCAATTCTTCTTGGAGTTTCGCTTTAGCGTCTCCAAGTCGGGAAAGGCTCGGGACATCAGACCAGTCGTCCTCAAGAAGCCTTTCAAGGAGGTCGTAAGTGCTAAAAAGAGGGCTCATATTGAGGTATAGAGGGTAGTAACGCGGTGATCTATGAATATGTGTGAACAATCAAGTATTCACCTGCGCCGAGGGACATAATATCGCGCTATGATAGTGTCTGGAGTACCTGAGCACTTAAATACTACTAATATTGCAAGAACTATGGTTATTACATCATCCCGGCTATGATATGAACGGGACGCCTATGAGGAAGCACTCTCCCCTCACATATTATGAAGAGTTGGAACCTATTTTTAACTCGTGCATGTTATTTATCTCAGTGACTGAGGAACCATATCAGACGACAGCTGTCACGTAGTTGAGCACTGATACCTGTATTCAGAGCGTGCTGCCTGCCTGGTTTGGTCACTCGATACCCCGGTGGCCACCGCTGTAATCGCTTTGGCCTCCATGCTGCTTGTCACGATCTGGGCTCCGGAGTTTAGTCGCCCGACATGAAAACTACGGGTTTATGTTGTAATAGGTAGGTGAAGCCTAAGCAATACTAACTCCGTACTGTCATATTTCTTTTGGGGTTGTCGCGTCGTGTCTCTGGGAAGAGATATCACCCCAGTGCACATAAGTGACGATGTGAAGTGGACGATTGGAACGATACCTAGATTGTTCGCTGAACTACAGAGGCAGTGGCTGTCTATCTCGGAGAACCCCCATCTATATGTCCTTTGCCCTTTATCGTGAGTTGTGCCTCCCGTGACGGTCGCGTGTTGTGGTGTCTGTCGGTTCAAAGACGGCTTCCTGTCGGCAGGCCGTCGCTTGCTACACTACTAAGATCGGTGATCACCTAATGCTCTGCTTACCTCCAGCCTTTGGCGGTCCGCCGCTTGACCACGCAGCCTTCTTTGTAGTGCTCCCTAAGTCATAAACAATCCCTTGTTTGTTTGTGTCAGTGTAGGCCTTTCACGCTACTAAAGTTTGCTTGCATCTGAACGTGGAACATCACAGAGCAGGTCCTTTCTCTGGAGTTGGTACTATACTGTACAGATAATAGCCCTAGATCTGATACTACTACAGCCTCAGGCGAAGAGTGCTGGCCTGAATGATAATAGCATGCTGTGTAGGGCGAACTTGCCATTCTGGACGCGAGCGGCGGCAGATGGAGGCCGTGAGGGATGGTTTACCGGTCATGGCGGCAGCTAGGTCAGTGCTCATAAATAGTCTGTGTCCTTTGCCTGGAGAATTCTTGGCCAGTCAAGGTTGACAGTCCAGTATGCATTTGTTGTTGCCCAGGCCACGAGCGGCATATCTCGAGAATCTGCCAGGAAGCTACAAGCTGGCTGACCCGTGGTGTTTCGTTCTCTGTATGAATTTGCTGTGGTCATGACTGGCTTGGTTCATTCAACAAGATGTGTGGGGGATGATGATCGAGGGCGATTCATGCTCGCCGCACCGCTCTCTGTAGTGCTGACAGGTGCAGCCCCCTTCACGCCGAGGACATGCCGCACGATGCTCTGCACCTCTCTCAAATTTCGTTGTCCGCGTGGCCAGACCTCGGCGAAGCTCTTCATGCACCCGATGCTCAGCCTGATATGATTCCTCGTATGGGAGGCGGCTGGAACGACGCCTACTGTCTTATTCCACCCCGTAATTGAGTCAACTTCAAGGGTTCAACATGCCCCACATATGCAGTGTCGACTGTGCACACCTCGACGTCCCTCTCATTCCCACGTAGGACATGTCACGTCCTACGAAAGGTCTGTGCACGTAGCAGATCCGTCTCATTCCAGCCCCTTTTCCAAGTGGACTTGAGTCCACTCTTTATCCCAAGTTTGCCCAGATTCTTCCCCAGATCGACCCACCGACAGTCCAGAATGCCGGTACTACGAAGACGAACTAAGTCTAGACCCCCCATTGCGACCAGTGCGCATCGCGACCAGGGGTCGCGTCGCGACGCGGTTGAGCACCCCACCATACATTTTCCCATATAAACCTGCTCAACCGCGTCGCACCGCGACCCGACCACCTGCATTGTGACCGTCAAAAAGGAAGCTATCGTCATGGTCGCAAAAGACTACCAATTGCGCGCCCTGCGCGCACTGGATGAAGTTGAGGCTGGCGTACCTGTCGCGACGGCTGCTAGACGACACGATGTCGACAGATCCTACCTACGTCGTCGCCTTGACGCGTGCCCAACCTTCAAGCAAAGGTACCAAGTCCGACAAACCCTCTCCGTGACCCAGGAGGATTATCTGGTCTCTTGGGCCCTCGACCAAGCAGCAATGGGCTATGCAGCTCCATTGAAGCAATTCAAGCACTTCTCGATGCGCCTGCTGGCTCTCGACAACCCCTCCGCACACCTCGGCAAGCACTGGTACCGACGCTTCATCCGCCGCAACCCGACCTTGAAGACCTCGAGATCACGACTTATTGAATACAAACGATACGACGGTGCCTCCAAGGCCAATATCGACATCTTCTTCGACCGCCTGACGTTATTGAAGGGCAAACGAGTACGGCCCGAGAACATATGGAACGTTGACGAGTGTGGCTTCGCGGAGGGCCTAGGTCACAATGGCTTCGTGGTCAGTGATGCCTTGCGCGACTTTACCTTGAAAAAGGACGGCGCCAGGAGCACCTGGATCACGATAATTGAGGCCATTTCTGCTGGCGGTGGCTTCATCCCTCCCCTTGTTATTTTTAAGGGCCAATCCGTGCAGCAGCAGTGGTTTCCCGACGTCGAACTTGACAGGTGGAAGCATTGGTGTTTTGACACATCACCAAACGGGTGGACCAGCAATGATATTGCTCTGAAATGGCTCAAGGAGGTATTTATTCCCAACACCAAGCCTACGGATTCTAGAGAGTGGCGATGCCTTCTTCTCGACGGCCACAAGTCGCACGCAACAGAGGAATTTATGACGGAGTGCTTCATCAATAAAATCTGGCTGATTTACCTCCCGGCTCATACCTCACATGTTCTTCAGCCACTCGATGTGGGCGTGTTCTCGGCGGTGAAGGACCACTATCGTCAAGCGGTCGCGGAGGTTGCATATAACACTATGAACGAGTCCCCAGGCAAGCGGGAGTTCCTTGAAGCATACCAAATTGCGCGCAAAAGAAAGCTCAATAAGGAGAACATCTTAGGAGGCTTCAAAGGCACAGGGGTGTGGCCTCACAATCGGTTGAAGGCGCTGGGTTCCCGCTTCGTGATGCGGGACTATGAGGAGGTACGGGAGGCCCAGCAGAATCCCCAAAATCGGGCCCAAACGACGGTTTTAGAGCCAGATTTTTTGACGCCCTTGTGCGCAATTGACGTCAAAACACCAAAAACATCTCGCGATGTCTATAAAATGCATAGGGAGTTGGTAAAGTGTGGTGTACCTTTAGGGGCGGCGACCTGCAGGAAGCTCTTCAACAAGGTCGGGAAGGCAATCGACACTTCGAACATCGCGCGCACCACCGCAGAACACCAAAAAGACCGTCTCCAAGCTGCATTAGATGCTTCAAAGCCTGCTAAACGCCGCAGAGTCGATCCGGATCCCAATAAACAGTTTGTTCAGGTCGTAAACGTGGAGCGCGCAAAGAGGCAATTGCAGCTCGAGATGGGGGCGGACTTCAGCACGGATGACGACACCGACAGCAGCGACGACGAGGTAGAGATCATTGAAGACGACAGTGACGAGGAGAGCTGCATTGAGGTGCGGATCAATTGATTTGAAGCCTTTTTAACGAATGCTTGTTCAGTTATTGCAGAGTGACCATGTGGTCGGTGATGCCCTCATGCGCAGGTTGGGGGGTGGTCGCCATGCGCACTGGTCGCAATGGGGGGTCTAGACTTACAGTACGACGATGCGGAACCAATCGCCAATTCGATCAGCTACGAGGCCGGAAGGCGATAGTAGTCCCGACCAGGTCTTCGCGTACCTGCAACTCTACGCCGATCTGGAATATCATGTTCTGATCTGCCGTAGACCCGAGTGCCGACACGCCATCTCCCCATATGGAGCCCAGGTTACCGCACATCTCTGGAACAAGCATAGCGTTCCACTGGCCGGCCGATTAGGACTTGCGGAGCATATACGCGATAACTACTCTCAAGGCCTCCGCAAACCTACGGATGCAGCTCTACCGCCCTGCGGTTCCAAACCCCATCCAGAACTCCAGACCTACGATGACTTCAGCTACCGCAAGTGCGTCTTCTTTACGACTAGCTTCCACGAGCTTACAAGGCACCTCTCTCATAAGCACCTCAACGGGGAAACCGCGACCCGGCCGCGAATTGGCCTACTCTACGACGACGTCTACCTACAGTCTTGGGCGGGCGGGCCTGTGTCACGATCCTGCCTCCGGGGTCAACCGTCTGACAGGGCGCTGGGGTTGCTGCTGTGGAAGATAGGTAAAGCCTTCGCAATTCTCATTTAACTCCTGCTGTCGTTCTCTCTCGATGGGTTGTCGTGTCTCTGGGAAGAGATACCAGTCTCGGCAATTGAGTGACTAGTTCAAGTGTGTGGTGAAACTGATACTTAGATTGATCGCTGAAGTACAAAGGTAATGACTGTCTGGGCTAAGAGATCCTCCATCTATACATCCTTTGTCCTTCATCGTGTGTCTTGCGTGGTCATTCTTTTCTGCACGACGGTCATGCTTTTGATGGTGACCGTCATGCTTGGCGGAGTAATGGTCATGCAGATATGCATGACCAGTGGTACGGTACCCGATCCTTATCCTTATCGTGATCCTTGTCCGTGATTACATAAGAAACCTGTGACGGCACTGCCACATGATCCGCCCTTGTCCCTGGCCTGCTCCTGTGGCCTAGTTGTTTGTGCTCTTTCCTGCCCGAACAATCGTCCCCTGTTGGTGCGGTCGTCACATCGGTCCTCCATACATAGCACCGAACTACTAGAGTTTACGTAGCGCTAGCGCCTTAAGCTTACTACGCCCTACGGTAAGATTATAAGATAACACTACGACTACCGAGACTTAACTATCGACTATATATAGGCCTCTAGGGAGGTCTGGGTTACCTTCGAAGGGGATATAGGACCCTCATCGCCTTCTACAGCCTCGGCAACGAGCAGGCCAGGACGGTCCCCACCGCGGACCTGGTCAGCTGGACGAGCGAGTTGTTCGACCTCGTCGCCACTGGCGACCCAAATCCTACACTTACATATCCTTAGTGAGAAAGCTATCAGCAGTAGCGAGGAGGAAGGACTCAGGGCAGCTAGCACTCGTAATGGTGACGAGGATGCTGTGGTTCCTACGGCCGCGCTTCTGCTACTGGGCGAGGCGGCACAGGGCGTACAGCGTGGCAGAGATGACGAAAAAAAATTGGTAAGTAGCCTGACCCGTCCTGGAAGACAGCGCACAGTACTGACGTGTGCCGCTATAGAGCGTAAGGGGTGTAACAACCGCATGCTAGTCTCCCTTGGCTGGATCGTGGCCAAGGGCTCGCGGGAGAACCCACGGAACACGAAGTGTAGTCTACAAGATCCGGAGAGGCTTATGCAGCTGCGGAAGGAGCTGCTGGCCGCGCGCAAGCCATTAGTGGACTCCCTCGCCATGGTGTTTGGTGACGAGGATGAGATCTGGCTGGAGCGGTGCGAGAGTATTGCAAGCCAGTTGTCGTATATAGACTAAGCGGCTTGTTATCTAGATCCCTGTTCCTTATCGCCGGATTGACCCCTCTTTGACACGTGTATAAAGCTCAGGTGTCATCTTTCAAATAGCCCCGCCATCGACCGAAGCCGGCCTGTGACGACGCTCCTGCACTGGCGCTATGGCGCTAACGAAACTACCGGTCGAGCTGATCAGCCTTATCTCGTCCTTCCTTGATACGCCTTCCTTCTTGACACTGCGCTATGCCTCCAGATCTGTCGAGGCTGGTACAAGACTTTTGTTTCGCCGGCGCTACTTCAGCTCTCGGGGCGTGATGCTATACGAGCCGAGCCTCGAGAATCTGCTCGAGATAGCTAGTAGCGAGGAATTTCGGACGTGCGTCGAGACTGTAATAATATGTCTCGATCACATTCCCGACTCTACGGCAGCGATTATGTATAGCGAGCTTCGGCTGGATGCTCTTGGAGAGTATGTCCCACTTGACCAACTCCCCGGACGCGACGCAATCGGCGATTATGATTCCGACCACGGCAGTCCAGCTGGAGAGGTAGAAATCGGCACCGGCTCGGCCGATTCTAATCGGGGGCTTCAGGACCATGCACGAGAGCAGGCGCGCTTCATAAAGTCGGGAATCGCTTCGTGCTACTTATCCAGTGCATTCTCCCGGCTCCCGAACCTTAAGAGCATCCAGATATCAGACACTTTCATCCCATGGGGTGCACGATCCTTCCGACGAGTAACAGGGTTGAGAATGGTGTCGACGCTCACCAACATGGTAGACCTAGATCTCGTACAGGCTACAGTACAGGAAACGCTTACGGCGACCTACAGCTCTTCGGCTCAGCCACTAGCACTGTCGATCATTGTCGGATTCGCAGACGAGGCTATCCGGCCCGACCTTCTAGTTCCCTCTGAATTTATCGCGCGGTTTATGCGAGCGCGGCACTCAGTGATAGCCGAGCTTTGTCTCTCGGTATCGCCCTTCCTCCAGAACGATAGGAGAGTATGGATAGACGACTTCCTGTCGTTTGTTCATCTCTTTCCACAACTCGAGGTTCTCGACCTCGGTTTCAATGTAGTAGACGAGCATCTCCATTTCTCGACCATCGGCCGGAGAGCGCACTTCCCACGACTACGCGAGCTCAGACTAGGCTATATCGCGTGTGAGGCGGATAGCATTGTGCATATGGTAGAACGTCATAAGTCTACGCTCCGGGAACTCGTTTTGACGCGGATCGAGCTACCGGCCGGGTCAGGAAGCTGGCCTCCACTATTGGCGTTAATACTCGGCGCAGAACTGATGGTAGAAGAGGTTGTGATAGAGGAGTGTATAGAAGGGGATCTGATGCTCTATCTGCATAGTACAAGGAAATTATCGAGCTTCCAGATATCAAAGTGGGGGCCAGACAGTCTTCCGGAGATATTTGCGGGACTGCAGCTGGAACGGGAGGCGTAGGTAGGTGTAGACTAGATTATCGTAGTACCTACCCCCCTATACTTCTACGGGTGTCTAGGCTAGGTTCGGAGGATTAAGCTCCTCCCACTGACCGTCATTCCCGGCCTTATCCTAGCTAGGGTTACTCACATATACTATCTTACTCTTCGATCTAACACTGCATTTGTTATTGAGGACCGTGAACATCTACCCACCGCAAGTAGATCATCGTTGCCTAGCGATGGCGATACGCTACGAGGCCGACGGTGGTCGCACCGGCGGCAAGGTCGGACTGCTGAGCTGGCCTGCGGCTGACGCCAGTAGTAGCCAGGAGCATCGCGTCCTCCTCTGCGTCTCATGCAGAGTCGGGATTCGGCCAGACGACGGCATACGACTACACTTCTGGCGGACGCACCGTGTCAAGGGCGAGGCACTACGCCAGATCGTCGACTACAGCTACGCCGCCGAGCCAATCGCGAATCCTCACACCGTACCACTACCAACCGACGGATCACCCCAGATAGAGCAGCTGCTGGCCATCGACGGCTTTAGCTGCTCAGACTGCCGTTTCCTAACGACGAGCCGGAAACTAATCAGGGTCCACCGCTCGCAGGCGGGACACGACCATACGACCAGCTGCCGTGGCAGTAACAGCGGCTGGAATGAGGTACGGCTCCAGACCCTGTCGCCGAGGAGCTATGCCCGGTACTGGGTAGTCGAGCAAGGACATGCCGGAACGGCCAGCTTAGATGCCGCCGGCTCTACTTCTACTTCCTCGCAGCATATATTAAACGAACGCCTCGCAAGCTACGAAGCAAGGCTAGCTACCGAGCTAGCGGAAGTGCGGCGTACAGTCGCTATTATCAGGGCAGTCGGTTCCCCATCTTGTGCAAGTCTGCGTCTCTAGAAGACGACATCAAGCGCACTTCACTCAGGATCATCCCCAGGATGCCAGTTTCGCCTCTTAATCCCCCACCGCAAGCCGAATCTTGTTCGGTCTCAGCGCATGTTGCACTTCAAGAAAAATGAACCGCCGCCAGTGAGATAAACAGCGGCACCAGCGATCCCTGCAAGCCGGAATGATTTCTGGCAGAGCCGGTAGCATTACTAGTGGAATGTCCGAACGCACACAACTGCTATGTCTCAGGAATGTCTTCAGTCGCAGGACTGTCTAGCATACTCCCAACTCTCAAATTACTGTCGCCATCGTGATCGCCTAGGGATACTACCCAAAAGTTTCTTCTCATGAATTGGGCAGATTTTGAGCCTATAGGTTTCCATCGATTGTGAGCGGGAAGCCCACAGGCGCCAGAACATGGAGTCACGGTTGAATCAGCTAGTTGATGTCTCCCATTAGTTCATGGGAGGATCGATAAACAGATACTAGCGGCTACGTGGACGGTCACCTCTCATACAAGTCCAAAGCTTCCGCACAAGTCGTAAATAGATTACAATCACACTACCGGACAAGAACGGGATATCTAAAATGTCCTAAAAACCGAGAAGGCTACAGTGACCTATATGACCCACACGACCTTGGAGCTAGTGCATTGACTTACCGTTACCATAAGAAAGTATCTCTCCATACATTTGGATGCGCTGTCACATGGGGTCAAATAATGGGAGGTAAAGTTGTGATGCATTCAGAAGGTCTGTGGAGTGGAGGGTACGCGCAGGTGCAGGTGGCAGAGCGACCTGCAGTGCAGACTACCTGATGGCAACCCCACTCCTGTGCTGTTAGCTTATCGTACATGAGTGGCGTAGGCAGCCATATGTGGCTGCCACCCTCCTTCTGGCGCATCACATTTGTAATGTGGATCTTCCAGTTGAGACGTAACGCTAAGCAGTACAGTACAGATACCTTTAATGTAGTGGCATAGAGGTGGGCATAGAAGTTGCGTAAGTAATCCGGCTTCTCATTAGTTTTCCATCCCTGATTTCCCCCATAATTCCGGTCACTGTAGCCTTCTCGGTTTTTATGGACTTCGTCACGGCATGACCTGAACCAGTGGGCCTGACTACTACGTGAATATACTTACCTAGCACGTACTACTCTCACCGTTTAATGCAAGATGACATCGAGGGTTTTAAAGGTCAAAAGTAATTGTGGATGGACGTAAAGTCTTCACGTCATAAGCCGGACTCTCAGGCAATGAAGTCGACCTTGAAAAATGTGAACTATTCGTTGTCAACACGCTGTGTACGCTTCTTAACTGCAACAATGAGAAGTCACCAAGACACACAAGCCTCGATTTTGGAGGCGGCACTGCTGGGCGACAAACAAAAACCAGAAACCAAGGTCGAAACCGATCAAGAATATGAGGTCGAACAAATTCTAGCAAAGCGACAACACGGACGAACCACGAAGTACCTTATTCAATGGAAAGGGTACGATGAAATGGAAAACACATGGGAACCTCCTGAGAACCTGACTGGATGTCAGGAGCTTCTTGAGGATTTCCGGAAGTCGCGAATTTACGTCCGGTCCATACGCAAAAGGGAGCCACAAGGACGTCCTCCGGGGCCAGCTCGCAGGATAGCCCATGTTTGCGGGCGGTCTCGCTCGCTCAAACCACGCGTATATACCTCAGTCCGGCACGGCTTTGGCATTAAGGCGAAGCGTTCAGGCCGGCCGAAGGTGGGCAAGGGCACCACCGAGACTTCCTTGAGTTTGAAAAACCGGAGAACCAATAGTATATATAGAGACACCGCCATATGGCTTGTTGGAATAGCTACAGCGCTCACAACGCAGTGTGTCGTAATCCGTGCGATAAGATAGAGTTGGCGCAACGAGTTCCACTATGGGCGGGCCGAGCAGGGCAATCCTCAATAACCGGGGTCCAAAAAGGCGTGCGAAGACGGCTGGCAACACGTCGACAAACGGGAGGGCCTGATCTCGTGTAAATGGGTTAAAAGCTCGTGGTCTGTTGACAATTAACTATCCCAGCACGCCCATCTTCCTCGATAGCCACAGCACAATACATTGACTGTGTGCGAACAGTACTGTCAAGTACAGCCTAAGCCATTGGTGACATGAATAGAGGTTCCGACATGGGTCTTGCAAAAAAAAAAATATTTTTAAAAAAGCAAAAAAAATCAAGCGTCTTTCCATTCCACATTTACTGTTCGCATCCCCAGGAGGGAACGGATTGGGAGGCAATCTGCACCGTGAGCGCCACAATATGCCCACATATTGCTAATCTGTGCGGAAACATCAACTAGTGTCCGAAAAGTGGACACATTAGTAGTCACAAAGGGTCGCAAAAGAAGAAAACGCGAAGTACCAGCCATTTGAAGCTATCACCGCGATTAGCCTTTTGGGCATACTATCGATCACGCGGGTGACGAGTTCGACTTCGATTTGCTCCCACACGTCCATTGCAACTGCTTCAAGGTGGTCTAATGAAGCCTCGCACTTCGTCATATATGCCATTTGAGGGCCTGCCTTATCAATGCGGTCTCTGAGGCACCACCACAGATTTTCAACAGGGTTAAGATCTGGGCTATATGGTGGCTAATCCAGTACTAGGATACTGTGTTGGGGCGGGGAGGATTAGTCAGAGTGAAGCCCAGACCACGAAGGTGGTATTTCAGCAAGTCAAGATAGCAGCAGAACACATCACCAATCCAAGCAGTTTTCGCGACATCTTCAAGTTTGCATTTTGCCGTCCAGAGCAGTGGTGCATTCCATTGACAATGCCCTGATTAGACAATCCCTCACAATTGCAACGACACACTCCTGTGCTGTCGTCGTCGGCCCCCGCATTAAACCCCCACCATTCCAGAATCTGGGAATGGCGTCACTTAGGCGTCCCGCCTAAGTGAGCCTCGCTGGCAATACCACCGAACCTGGCAGGCGGTGAACTCCCTTTGGTCGTCGGGTGGTTGTTGTTCCCATGATCCGAGAGAACCTCACTTTGCCCCAGCACAATACCTGAATTGTCGTGCCATTCCTTCACCACTTTTGCTATATGAACCGGCGCATGATCATGCATGAAGACAGTATCGTGGATCACCGTGATGCAGGGGCTGGGTCACCGTGATCCGGTTGTTGGCTCACTGCGAGCCCATGGTGAGCATCACGCGGTGAGCCAGTGATCCATTGGGGGTTTGCGGTATTTGTATGCGCCCCACAAACTCTGCCCCGCAGACTTTTGTCCTGCTGACATAAAGAGATGATCACATGAGAACCCTGGGTTGTCCTTCCCGTGTGCCTGATCCGCCCTTGCCCTTGGCCCTGATCCTGCGACCTGTTGGTCGGGTGGTCACACGTGCATGGTCTGCAAGGAGGCTCGCGGGCTTAGCCAGTTTCTGATTGGCTGGGGGCAGGAGAGCCTCCCCGCTTTCTGCCCCCCAGTGACTCGCTGCGGAGGCGACATCGCATCGGTGCATGCAGTTGGCCGATTCTTTACAGTGCTCATATCCAACGCTGTCCATGATGGCGAACCGATTTGCCGTGGCAAGAGAAGTGCAGAAAGTGTGCCAGCTTTCCTACAACAAGTACCCGCCAGAAATAGCTTGCAGCACAATTGTGTGGCAGTGTAAGCCGTTCAGACATGCTTCCTAGCTGTTTTGGCAAGTTGAAAATAGCGCCACGACTTAGCGCAATCCTGTCCCAAGCTAGGAAAGCGCATTGAGGACGACATCATATCATTCGCTCTTCTATTTAGCAGACACATGCTCGAGACAACGCTTAGGTCGAAAGACCCCAAATGTAAGTCAACTCTAAGACGGGATATAGCCAAGAAGAATCCCCACTCTCGGAAAATGCCGTAGCCATCGGGATAGCCTTGTTACAAGACTCACACGAACATCCTAAGACCATCTTCTTCAAGAAGTCCCAGGCGGGTGGAGACGCGGGCGGAGGCTCGGCTAGCTCCGGTTGGCTCGCACCGGGCTAGTCCTTTGTCCTCGGTTCTTCATCGCCCGCTGGGGCAGTTTGTGCTGGAGTATCGGCCGTGGGGATTGCGGGGATGACAGCAGACGCTGTTGAGGCGGCCATGTTCGTGTAGTGTTCCTATCAGGCAATGAAACTGTGCCGGACGGATGTGGGAGTGTGGTTGCGACGGCAATGGGGGCAAAGAGGACGCAGTACAGGGACGTCGAGTTCGTGGCCGGGACGATAAAGAACGAAATTGACGTTTGTAGACCACATGAGCTGGCTTGCAGACTAATCTGACACGTATGCCCACGGCTTGAAAGATCGTGTGTCAACCGCACCTCATGCGTGACCATCATTATGGGACCTGTGGAAGCACGTTGATCAAAACAAAGCTTCTTAAGGATGCTTCGAGGTGCGGGAAGATCAGCACTGTTTGCGTCTCCCGACCGCAAGTTTTGATCAGATTATTGCTACTACGTTCCATGACGTAATTCGTTAGAATGTAGTGTAGTGTCATTTAAAGTTCGTTAGTGTGAACTCAAGATCGAATTCCGCGTAACCTTGTCCTGGCACAACCATTGAATGCTAGTCATATAGCTAGCGATTCTTTTCCGGCGCCTCGCTTCCCATACCGCGACCACATGAATATGACTCCAAGTCCTTAGATGCAGCTTTCACATCAATCGACCTCGACTTCTAAACACTAACGCCAGGCTCATGAGACGTTCTTCGATGAAAGGTGGCAACGTCCGTCGCGATGGATATGGTCTACGACAAGACACATCGCATATCGAGCGCTTGTGTTTTGCCGAGGACGGCGAGCAGACCATTGAGGCTCGCGCTGATCGGCACCGCTGGAATGTCGCGTTTAGCAGAGTGTGCGGATTGACTGAGGAAATCCGAGATGAGTTAAGATTTGGAGACTTTCTCAGTTCAGAGCTCGGTCGGTTTTCAAACCTCTCGGCAGGGGAGGCGATTAGAGCCGCAAGTCCTCCAGAACTTCCCCGGTTCGTAGGCCGCGATGGGAATCAGGATAGCATTGAAGACCTCAATCAGGAAAGACAACTCTTGAGGTCGATGCTCGACATCACACAGCGCCAAAACCTCTCACTCAGGAATACACTGCAGCTACATATCTTTCGCATCCTTTCAGCGTCTACCGACACGTACGAAGAATATTTACCATTCTACCGATATCAGACACGACAGTTGAAGACTAAGTTCAGGCCTGGTGCCGGCCTTTTCTGCTCTGGTTTGAAGTCCATGCGCGAAACAGAAGATGTGTACACCAGCAAGCAGGTCATAAATCACATCGAATACACGCGCGCCGGATCGCCGTTCATATCCGTTTCTGACAGCCCGTGGCGGATTCATAACATCATACGAAAAGACCGGAAACGTGTCTATCACGGCGGTCATGTGGTAGTCATCGCTCCTGCAAATCTTCGCAAGCTCCAAATCTCCTTTGCACGTTCAACTCAACTTGTGGAGCAAATCGGTGAGAAACCGTATTGCAAGGAAAATCCCAATGGAGTTCACTATACCACTCCATCCCACTGGTTGGTACAGGGTTGGATACCGGAGGCATGCATTGTGACACGCCTTACGCTGGAGGAGTTCGAGGAATAATGTGCCATCCACAAGGACATCACTAAAGTAGAAGGTACGACTTTACGTGATGCTTTGAACTGAGTCCTTTAAATCGCTGAACTGACTGTCCGCTCTAGCTGATGAAAAAGACCCTAAGTGCGACATTCGGCCTTTGCTCTCGAGCCTTCTTGAGTTCCGTGTAGCATGGCAGGACCGCCATTCGCAGGCGTTAGTTGTACAAGATGCAGAAGCTAGGCTAGAGACATAACTGGAAGATGCTTAACCAGATATATTCAAGGGGCTGCTGTGCGCATTGAGAGTCCTGCGCAGGTCTGGGAGCGTTGTTGTAACGACACATACCTTCGCAGCCAATATCTTCCGTCAGGATACTATCAGGAGAGACGACCTTCTGTGTCGAAGTATTCCACATACGTAGAGGCGACCCTGAAAGGTCTGTGCTTGGGCTGAATCTTTTGCAGCGTCTCTCTGGAGGAATATATGAGTGTGACAGAATGAAGGTCTTGGCGCTAGTCGAGGATTTGGACTGTTCTGAGTCTTAGATCTGCTAATACTGCGCGTGCTGTCACGCTGATACATTAATCACTGCTGCTAGTACCCTGTTAGGAGGCTTGCCGGACGTACGCTCCGCGGCAGTGTCAAAATTCACAGCCTTGCCGTCTTCGTCGCCGCTTCTGTTCTCCTCCTAGTTCAAATGCAGTTCTTTGATCTTCCACGTACCGTCTGCACATACAAGGATGAACTTGGCCTTGAGGTTTTGGTATGCTTCAAGCTTGCTACGGACTCCAGCAAGCCATTCGTCAATGCGCAAGCTGTAAGGTCGAGCACCAGGTGAACACAGTGGACACTTCCAGTGACCCCCGAAGGATGGCTCGCTGGGACATGTTGTGCAGGACGACGACCACGTACCGCACACGCACGTCTTTTCTTTGCCAAGTCGCGAGTTCAGCCATGTTTCAAGATCAAAGCACTCATGGACCGCAATTTGGACAACCCCTAAGGTGGACGGATCTGCTAGGTCAATGGCTATCTCATGAGTGACCATAACGATATCGTCGTCATCGCTGTCTTTTGTGCGCGCTGGTCTTTCCTCGATCAACTCAACCGTTCTTGCATATGGCTGGATGCCGTGGATCTTCACCCAATCAAGTATGGCGGAATGACTCAACGTTTCCACGAGCTCGACCGCCAGAAGCGGCTGGCTGTCCTTTAGCACATCTTCTGGACGACTGTTAGTCTCCGGCATCTATATATGCAGATGGTTCTCCTCCGATAGTGCGCTTCGCGCGCTATCAATCGGCAGATCCTTGGCGTTGTGTGCCTTGCGGCGTACGGACAGTCTAACGCCGTTGGCTTCCAGGAAAATGTGGTCGGGCCAGGTGACGTGCTTCATGAACCATTCGCTGTCAGACATACCAGGAACCTGGTCGCCCACAACATAGCAACAGGGTAGCACTGCTACGTGTCTGGGTATGGGGCAGGCTGTCCTCCGCCGTTTCAACATATGTCAAGCGACCACGGTACTTGTCGCTTGGGTGAGACTTGCATTTTCAATAGCGGCTTCGGGTGTGATTGACACGGATTTCACAGCATATGTCCCTGAGCGACTGCTAATGGTACGCGCTCGTTTGCTCTGGTTGAACCAGGAGCCGCCTTGGGCTGCAAAAATGTGCCTGATGCAGCGTACTGACTAAGCAGTTGTCGTCATATTGGTCACTTGGGTTCTCGTCAATAGGGATGTGGTAGTCCCTGTCAAGGAATGAAAGACCTGGCAGACGCGACTCCTGAAATATCGTCTGGGGTAGTGTGGACTGCATGGAAGCAACGACATGCCCGTTGTGGTTGCCTGCTATCGATGGGTTTGGCGCATGACCGGCCTGATTCAGTGGTGATTCCAACGCGGATCGTCCGCTCGTGCCGGGGGCTGGGGATTGCACTAAATGCGGCGCGCCCCGGAAAGTGAAGTTTAATGTAGCGACAAATTTCGGCTCCAATGACGCCGAGCGACAGTTTGTTGGGGCGAAAATGGTCGAGGATTTCCTTTTCTCAAAGGCAGATACCTTCTTTGACAACGAAGACATGATTCTTCGTCTCATTCAGCACTGGGACTCACCCAGCATTCAAGTTCGAATCGGGGCGATCGGAGCTTCGATCAACAAGCAACGTCAGGTCCGACCCTCACCAAAGCTGGCACGGTCCTAATTTTCGAAAGCTGCGCCACTCGGTGCTAAGCCCAGAGTCTCTTGAACTTGAGCCCACTGCGGCGACGATCGCGATAGCACAGATCCTCCACGTTGCCCGCGATGACGTCTCTCACAGCGAGCTGCAGTGCGGCAAACGAGGTTGTTTTCTCACCGACGAGATCAAACCGTGTCGCCAGAACAAATTTCGAGGCAATATGCAGAATCATCTCTTCGGACAGCAGGGCATAATTCTGCGTCGTTTGCAGAGCAGGGATGATGACCGCTGGATCCGTGACGATCAGGTTGGCAACATCCGACCGGGTACTCCCTGGCAGGTTGCGCTGATGACGTAGGCTGCACCCGGGGGCATGCTCTGCGGTTCAGCCTCACCAAGCGTCGCAACCACGGGCGGGCGCTTGTTTATGTCGTGCATGAATTCAGCTCGTTGATTGGTCGACATCCAGGACAAGCTGGACGGCTTCGTATAGAGCGAGAAGGAGTGCGAGTGGCCCGGCTCGGCCATGCTCTTGGAGGCGTGCTTGGGGAGCTTGACGCGCGGAGGAACCAACACAAGCCCTGTGGGAACCCTGGTCTCCACCTTGAAGTTCGTGGGAGGTACGGCACTGGCGCCGAAAGGCATGAAGCTGCGAATCGACACCTTGCCCTTGAAAGCTTCGAGCAGGTCAACGTCGTCCCGGTTCGAACGGGGTGCTGCCACGAGCGGGGCATCGGAGGAAAGGCCACAACAGGGGGCGCATTGCCCTGTTGAACACTGCCACCGGAGGTCTGTGCCTTGCCGGCGGCGGTGGTGAGCGGAGTTGATTGTGCTGCCGGCACGCCAGCGGCACTGCTCATTTTCATCTTCATCTTGATGACTAGGTAAGTCTGCCGACCCCCTGGTGACCACCTCCCATCGTGACCAGGGGTCGCGTCGCGACGCGACGCATCCCCCCACCATACAATTTCCCATATAAACCTGATCATCTCTGTCGTGACGCGCCCCAGCCTAGACCATTACAACCCCCAGAAGTGAGGCTATCGTCATAGTCCCAAAAGACGTGCAATTGCGCGCTCTACGCGCGTTGGACGACGTTAAGGACGGTATACCTGTTGCAGCGGCCGCCAGAAAGCACGACATCGACCGTAGTTACCTACGTCGCTGCCTCAAATCTAAGTCAACTTTTCAGCAGAAGTATCAGGTAACGTAATCCACAAGTGACCCGCCAATACAAGTGACCCGCCAACTTTAAAGGCACTCGTACGACAATGTATAAGTCAATTCAACCACAACGCCTCAAATCAATTGAAACTATTCAGAATCCTCTTCTCCAGAGGTAGACTCAACTTTCTGACATGTACGAGCATTATGACCGGGCTCCCCGCAGACGCCACAGCGTCGCGCGCGCGTCTCTGTCCTCCTCGCGCGACTACTATTTTGACTCGTTTCTGCCTGTAACTGCTGCGTCGCATCTATTTGGTCCTTCAAGTCCTTTGCCTGTTCAATCGTAAGGGACCCTCCTTTCTGTAATTGCTTTCTCTTCGTACGGCGACGGCGGCTGAGGCGGTCATTTGCATCTCGAAGTTCGACGAGTTCATGGCGCGTAAGGGTCTGCTCGTGCACCATCATCGAGAATCCTTTGTTTAGCTGCCGCAAGCTTGCAATTATCGAAGAAGGAGAGCTACCCTGATGTCGTACGATGCGGTTCTTAATGTATTCAGTCTGTGATTCCGCCTCGATCGGGTTATTCGGCGTCTTCGAGACCCAGGGTGGCGGCAGGCCTGCAGAACCTGGCGGAGTTGGCGTATGAGGCTTTGCATCTAGCTGTGAAATGACGTATTCCGGATCGTAGGGTACTAGGCCAGTCGCTCTGAAGCCTGCCTGGATGTTCTTTTCCGTAATCGCAGCGCTGTACGCCTTCTGGAAGGCTGGGAGGAAGTCTTCCTTCGATACGTAGGTATATGCGCCCGTATTAGACCTTCGATTTCTTTTCCGTACGCCCGTTTTAGAGGTCCAAAGCACCCAACATCGAGAGGCTGGAGCTTATGCGACGAATGAGCAGGCATACAGAGCGTAATTATGTTCTGGTCCTTGCAGTACAGCTCGAAATCGACCGAGTGGTGGCTCTCGTGGCCGTCGAGGATCAGGAGCCGGAAAGCACCCTTCGTACGACTCTTTGTATGGAAATCGAAGTGTTTCGCCCATTCTAGACCTCGCTCGTTCGTCGTCCACCCATTTTCAGAGAGTGCGATTACCCAGTCGGGCGGTAGAGGGCTGTCGGACGTCCAGGAGTCGAGGTGGACCTTGCCTGCGAAGATGATGTACGGCGGGATCGAATTGCCGGACGACCCAATACACTGGATAGCTGTAACCCATTCCTGGTTGCCTTGTTATACGGCTCTAGGCCTTCCGCGTCGATCGGAGGTTGTAACGACTGTTTCTGCAGAGATTTTGCCCATTGCGAACCCGGTCTCGTCGAAGTTGTAGATATCGTCATCGTGGATTCCGTATTTCGCGATTACGTTTCGTACAAGGGAAAACCACGCGCGATACGCGTCCGGATCTTCGCAGAGGACTCTCTGATAGTCGATTCTTCGATTAAAACGCGTACGGAGCTCAGGTCGTCGTCGTACGAAGTTTGCGGTCCAGTTCGTTCCAACGCGTGGCGCGTCGCGTTCGCGGAGGAGTCGATCCGCCATTTCTCGAACACCACTCATCCGCGGCGGAAACGATCGCGAATCTAGGTCGATTATATACCGTACGATGCTGTCCTCTTCGTACGAGGTCAATTTCTGGCAGGGTGGTCGGATATCGCGTTGCGGAGGTCGGCCGTGTTGTCGTCGTTGGAGGGTCGCGCGGGATACTTTATAGATCTCTGCAGCCTTTCGTACGCTTAATTCTGGGTTCGATTGAAGCGCTCTTAATGCTAGAATCAAATCGCTTTCATTTGATTGTCGTCCCATGATTGTAGGTAGAGAAATAAGGAGATAAAGGTCATGTATTGAAAATGGTGGGAAAGTGGCTCATCCACTTGTGTGGCTCACCCACTTGTGGATTACGTTATAGTGAAAAACATAGATTTTAATGTTTTTGGTTTTGATTATGGGTCTTCCTACTCGGACGTGTTTGATAATATTTTCAATTAAAACTCATAAATTCAAATATTTGATTTCGGCTTCTATAATCCCTATTTGATGCAGGCGAATTCAAAACATTCTATGGCACTAATTAAAGTAGCGGAAGTTGGCTTCACTAAGCTCATTCCACATTTCGTGCTGCTCAGTTCTGGCTTGACGGTCTTTCATCCATCGAATAGTCGTGTTGCTTGGCCCTCGAGCTGTCCCGCAGTCTAGCCCTTGAGATGCACCATGTCATTACGTAGGATTTGCCCGAGTCGTTCCTTCAACAGTGCTGCCTGCGGCGCAGCCTGTTGCATTGACCCCGGCAGTGTGCAGTATTTCGGTTGCAACTCACAGCTAGCCCTTGACTCTTTGGCTCAGGCTGAATTCATCTCAAACCTCCGTCTCAGTGCTGCCTGTCTGGTTTTCCAAGGGAACTCTACGTTAGAAAACATCTCCCGGAGGTATTCCGCAGTACGATGGAGACCGCACTGCTTGGGTTAGTCGTTGCGGAAGTTGGAGTCGCTCATTATTCGGGGGTTCAGGGTATCTCGTATCCCGGAGTTCCTGCTTTCTTGGCAAACTCGTAAACTCGTAAACTCATAAACTCGCTAACGGGCCCCCTTCTACTTTCAAGGGTTCGGAGCTAATTGCTGTGCAGCTTTCTTCCCTTGTTAGGTTTCCCGCAGCCCGCAAAGCGACCTGTTGACGATTTTACGAGTTTGCTGAGATATGGAGATGGAAGGGGCTTGACCCCGGAGCACACCGCAGGTGCTCAGGACGCAATCTGCATTTTTGTGACTAAAAATCTAGCCTGGGCACGCTCTCATGGCGTGGCGGAGCAAGGTTTGACCCTCCCTACCGAGGCGGTGGCCACAAAAAACGGGACTGCTATAGTTGATTGTCGTTGGTGAGCTGTCCCGTTTTTTGTGGCCACCGCCTCGCCTACATAGACACGGGTTGATTTTAAGTTTACGACCGATATGCAAGCTGCCAGGGACTGCCCTTCCCCTGTATTGTCCTGAGCTACGGAGGCGGCGGTCGATAGATCCTCGTGGTACGTTCATGTTCAATATGTGCTTTCAAAAGCACCAGGTATACACAATAGCATTTGTTCTTCCTCTGCGCTCCTCCTCTGCCACTCTGCTTGGCGTGAGTCTCCGCCCGTGTGTCCACTTGTGATGGGTACACCCTTATCAGATGATGGATTATGCAGTCACCTCGGCATAGGACGGGGAGGCGAGTCTTTCGTCTTTTCGGCCGAGACAGACCCGCTGCACAGGTTTGTGATAGATTGGAACCCCGCAGATTATGTTCAGCCTCATCTGATCTACCGCCTCTGCGACCATGCTGTCGGAGATGGGTTGTGCTGGGCACGGAACTTCCCCGGCTCCCCTGAGGATCTTGACTCGGAAATGCGGTGATGGTTGGTTGCCAAATACGCCGCAAGGGGATGAGCGCGCGACGTCGTCTGATGTGTTGCTGCCCGGGCCGTCTCAAAGTCTAGGGAGGCCTTCACTGACCTGGTGCGGCTACGCGAAGCCAGGGGCACCCGCGTGCTTGTTCTTCCTTCTCCGTCATGACCCGTTGTAGGCATGAACATTCTGACTCGGAAGACACTAAAAGGCGACAACCAGTCATCCCTGATGTGGGAGATCATTTGAGTTCAACAGTCCAGCCTAGTTGACAGCTGGACCGGGGTTGTCATCCTTCATTTCAGCCCGTTCCAATCTGTGGGTAATCGACCAGCCGTTTTGGGACGCCACGCTCTCTAGGCGCCTTTCTACGCGCCTCGTTGTTCCCCGCTGTTTCTCACACCCTGGACATTGCAGCGTCGCCCCCGCCCTACAGAGCCTAGCGATTGTGTCAAGTAGATCTCTATGCAGTGCCAGGGAGACATTAGTGTGCTACTCCTGAGCGGTCGAATCTATCCCGCACATCATACGTGGGTCCACCCTGGCAGTTGCTGGTCTGTAATGCCTGACACACCAACGTGTGCCGCGTACACGACTCCCGGCAGTACCTCCACGGCGCTGACCCCAGAACAAGTGCCGAGCCTTTAGAAGGTTTAGCCTCAATCTACGGTGACAGACAATGGCTGCGCGGAGATATAAAGTATTCGGAATAGTCTCGCTAAAGCAGACGGGTTTCTTTTCCCTCTTCACTCCAGGTCACCAAGCCTTTCTCATTCTTTTCGCTAGCTCGCAGTCACTCCTTACAGCCAGCTGCCCACGTTCTCTTCTCGCTTTCCCAACAGTCCAAACATACCCAGGAGGTTCCCAGACATTCTTTTTGTGGCCACAGCACAACGTCGACGGACGGTTTTGCCAATCTTTCCCAATCCAACCCTAACTAGGTGTATTTTTGACTTGCACACTCACTTTCCCCGACAAGAGAACGTAACACATCACGGCCGCAACGATGAAGTTTTCTGCCGCCCTCGTCGCCGCCCTCGTGCCCTCGGTCTACGGACACTACTTCTGGAACAAGCTCATCGTCAATGGCACCGAGACTGGCGACATGGAGTTTGTCCGCCGGACGACCCGCCCCCTCCCCTGGAACCCCATCAAGTGGAAGAACCCGCTCGAGAACTCGACCCCAGACCTCGACGACATCCGATGCAACCAGGGTTCCTTCAGCTCCGCCGGGTCCACTGGTGTCAAGGAGGTCGCCGCGGGCTCCAACGTGGGCTTCAAGCTCGCCGTCGGCACGTCAGCGGGGCACCCGGGCCCGGCCTTGGCGTACATCTC